TAATTCACTTATATACAAGTATCTATAAGAATTGGGTGAACCACATATAGGGCGAACAAGATATTGGGCGAAAAATATTTCGGGCGAACGGACTCTGCGCGAACGGACTCCTGCGAACAGGTAGATCGGGCGAACGAACCCGTTACCCTTGAAATGTGTTGTTCCTGAAAGTAATCTTTTTTTTTCATATTTTGCTAATTGTAGAGAGGTATATTATTAGTTACACAGTCAGTTAGTGACCTAATGGATTCATACAGGGTGTGAAATGGAAATCCGTATTGGGCGAGGTGAAGCCGAGTCCCAGTACGGATTTCCATTTCACACCCTGTATGAATCCGTATTAGGTCACTAACTGACTGTGTTACGAATTTATCCCGCTGAAGACCTTTTTCAATATAAAGAAAAATATTTGTGCATATTATGAAAATATTAAGTTTTAATCTAATAAAAATCAACATAAAATATCGTTACGGTAACAAGAAATTTAACTAAACTACCTACGTAAACCGTTTCTTAGCCACCATTTTTATTTATAATAACAACGCTTCGAACGGAATCGCGTGCCCGATTTTCATAATACACCTCGACAGAGACTTAATACGGAAAATTTCAGGGCGTCACGTGATTAGCTTTTATCCAATCAGTAATCGACAAATTTGTCTGAAGCGGGATAAAATAAATTTATAATCTAAACAGAAACTCAATGATTCAAAGAACCATATAAGTATATAACATATCCTTGATAGGTACAGATCATTGGATCAAACATAGTATCTCTTCACAATTGGTCTGATGATCCACACCTGTCAACTCCATATGATAAAGCTCTTCAGATCAAATTACATATTAATGATATTATGTATTATGCACAGGTGTCCAATAGGCCCTTGGGCCTCTTGTGTGGATGAGTGACCAGTTGAGATTTTTAGGACAAGTTCATTTCCAAGTAACTGCAAGCCCTACGTGGACCAAAACTATGTTCATGTTGCATCTAGGGTACCAGGTATTCTCTTTAGAAGAAAAGTGGGCAGGCTTTCACTAACATCCATGGATGTAGGCGAAAGCTTGTCCAATTCTCTAAAGAGAATACATCAAGGGATGCACTGTATTAGCCAATAGTTAAGTGGAACTAAATTGCCTCGTTTAAAGGTAATATTTTTTTGAGGGGACCTCTGTTATCTTTGATTTCTGATGTTTTTCTTTCAGATTACTGTGTACAATGCAGAAGAGTACTCTAGTTATGAAATGCAGAAAAGTAACCTAGTCAATAAATTGGAAAACATATTGTTCAATGACTATAGATATTACCACCTTGTGTTCATTACCGTTACAAAACTGGGTGCTGAAGAAGACTCGCATTCATAGATTGTGATAGTGTTATTTTTGAAATACTTCAACTATGCATGTATAATATTATATTTATAGCATCATGTTTTAGTATTTCCCTATTCTTAAATGTTTATTTGGATATATAATACATAGCATATTGAATAGTTAAAAAGTTTTTATGGATAAAATTCTTTACAAGTTTGATTTACAAAAAATTCTGAATGGTAATAATACTAATATATAAGGTATTGATGTTTAGAGACATAGAAAATGAGATTAGATTTCTTAGCACACTTATGAGACCACAAAATGGTATATAGATTTTATTTATATTTAATCAAAAAGACATAATTATATTCTTGTATTGTTATATGTATTTCTTTTACTAATATAAAGATGTTTTAACTTTTCAGGTATACAATTTTTGTGAAAAATGAATGAAATGTTGTAAATGGAATGGTAATAAAGAGATATATTTTTTTACACCTTTTTTGCTTCCTGCATTTACCTCTCCCCTTTCCTAATGTGACTTTGTATTATGAAGAACATACTGTGAAAAAGAGGTTTATCTTATTAAAAAGAAACAGAGAAATTGGGAACTCTTGATGGTGTAAATACATACAAGTAGATACAAAACATTAATTACACTAGATTCCTGTCAAACCCTTTATGGTTTTGTAGTACATTGCTTTCAATTCCGATTTCAATGCTCAATAATACTACATTTCCTTGATATCACTTTACTGTCAAGAAGTGGGGGGGGGGGGGGGGGCAACGAACATTTCAATGAACATTTTCAATACTAAAGGTAATGTTGGAAAAAAAAGGGGGGGCTGGCCCCGCTTGTTGCTACGTCCCTGCACATTACATAGCTCACTTTTGTTAAGCCATTTAGTTTTAAAGTACTTGACAGATTTTTATTATACCCCACACAACAAGTTGCGGGAAGTATAATGTTTTTAACCCGTTCGTCAGTCAGTCAGTGTGTCAGTCCATCAGCCCTTTTTCTTAGTCAGCACAACTCCCCATAAACTGATAAACCGCTGCAAAGAATTTCGTCAAACTTTGCAGATACACTGTATTTAGGATCAATGTGTAGATGTGCATATTACCAAGGAATTCCGTTTTATTTATTTTCTGGGAATTTCGGCACTTTTCAGTTTGGATATTTTTTAGCCATATCTAGAGTATAGTAATAAGTTTGTCAGCGCAACTCCTCATAAACCGCTACACAGAATTTCGTCAAACATATTTAGAACACAATGTGTAGATGTGCAAATTATCAGGAAATTCTAATTCCTTTATTTTTTCTAGGAATTTTGGCATTTTTATGCCCCCCTTCGAAGAAGGGAGGGCATATTGCTTTGCTGCTGTCCGTCGGTCTAAAGTTTGTCTGTCGCAACTCCGTTCATTTTCTTTACAACCGCTGCATATACTGAAATGAAATTTGGTATACAGGTTTATCAGGTAAATATCTAGGTCAAGTTCTGTTTTGGGTTCGATCACACCATTTTGACAGAGTTATGCCCCTTGGACTTAGAAAAATTCCATTTATTTGCAGTTTCCATTCAATTTCTTTGCAGAGGTTGCACATTTTGAAATTTAGTATACAGATGTTTCAGCTGAATAAGGTCGAGTTCTGTTTTGGGTTTGATCGCACCTTTTTTGATAGACTTATGCCCCTAGGACTTATAAAAATTCCACTTATTTGCCGTTTCCATTCATTTTCTTTGCAGAGGTTGCACATATTCAAATGAAATTTAGTATACAGATGTTTCAGCTGAATATCTAGGACAAGTTCTGTTTTGGGTTCGATCACAACCTTTTTGTCAGAGTTATGCCCCTTTGACGTAGAAAAACAATTTTTGCAGTTTCCGTTCATTTTCTTTTCTGCACATAATGAAATAAAATTTAGTATACAGATTTTTCAGCTGAATATCTAAGTCAAGTTTTGTTTTGGGTACGATTGCACCATTTTAGACAGAGTTATGCACTTTTGGATAGGAAAAATCCAATTTGAGGAGGAGGGGGAAATGTTTAAACATCTATTGCAACTGATTTTTGCGCGTATGATGACAGAAATGAACATTCATTTACATGAGGTATAAAAATTTTAAAAAAATGATAAAATGTCATGTACATGTGCTTAAATTATGGACAGTTATTTGTGTACTTATTTCCAGAATTTTGTTCGCAAGCTCAAATGTTGATAAATAATTAATAGTTTGATGCACTAATCTCTGCTGCAGAGGAAATAAAGAATGTCTGTCTGTCTTGAATATAGAGATGAACAGTTTGTCAGTGCAACTCCTCATAACCCGCTGCACAGAATTTCGTCAAACTTTGCAGCTATTTAGGACACAATGTGTAGATGTACATATTACCAGGGAACTCTGATTCCTCTATTTTTTTTCTGAAAATTTCGGCATTTTTCAACTTAGAATTTTGGCCATATCTTGCATTTTACAGATCAACAGTTTGTCAATGCAATTGCACAGAATTTCGTCATACTTTGCAAATATTTAGGACACAATGTGTAGATATGCATATTTCCAGGAAATTCCTATTACTTTATTTTTTTCTGGGAATTTCGGTACTTTTCAACTTAGATTTTTGGCCATATCTTGATTATAAAGATGAACAGTTTGTCAACGCAACTCCTCATAAACCGATGTACAGAATTTCGTCAAACTTTGCAGATATTTAGGACACAATGTTTAGATGTGCACATTACGAGGAAATTCGATTCCTTTATTTTTTACGGGAATTTTCGGCATTTCAAGTTTTGGGGGAGCGTGGGGTATGTGAGCTTTCTCACTTTCTCTTTCATTTTTTCAACTCTAGAAATATGATGCAGACATTGTAGAGTAACGTCCTCTAGCTAAAAACAACCTATTTTCATTATCCTAAATAAAAAAAAAATGCTTTTATTTTGAAAATAACATTTATAGAGGTGATGTGGAGTGTAAAGATTATATGTATGCATGTATTACAAAAGTTACACATTTCATTTTGAAAAGACCACAACTATAATGCTGTTACATGTATTTCTATATAGAATATGGGGAGGGTGTCCGTTTTCTGATATTGACAATTAAAAGCTGAGGTAGACGCAATCAGACAAGGGTAAAACACGGCAAAAAATGGCTTTAATGATATGGTTACGACCCCTGAAATCTTTGCAGTTTGGCTTCTTGAAAATAGAACTTCTTGAAAAGTCTTGGCATTGTTAGACTGTAATGGCAAAACCAATTTGATGTTGGTAGTTAGTTTATCATTTATTCATTCTGTACGTTGTAAATAAATTGTATACTAGTATGTAATTGTTTAAGTTGAGACTTGTGTCTTTTGGGCTGTATGTTGGACTTAAACTGCTTATATAGCTAAGGAAACAACGAAGTTGGTGTTCAATGAAAATAATAAAACACAGTTTAAAAAAAGTGTACCACTGGATGCAGAATCTGTCATTTATGATATAGGATATGTCATTCATTACATACTAAATACAAATCCAATCAAACACCACGAAATCAAACTTTATGCTCCTTATATGTGTCCGCAATTTGTAGAATTTTTACATTGTTTTTATACAATCAAACATCACGAAATCAAACTTTATGCTCCTTATATGTGTCCGCAATTTGTAGAATTTTTACATCGTTTTTATACAGGGTCTTGAAGAACAAAATAAAGCCAAGGATTCTGAGGAACTGCTTATTTCTTCCAGTGGTTTGTATAGAACTTGTAGTCGAAGGGAAAGTCATTGTAAAATGTTTTTAAAAAAACACATGTAATATTTTACGTAAAATTTTCCTAAACGAACTTAATTAAGTTAACATTTTCAGCTTTGAAAATTATTCAATTACAAGGCCTTTTAGTTAATAAAATTTGATTTGAATAAGTGTATTTTAATTCATTTTTAAATATTATTCAAAGGCAAAGAACAGGATTTGACACCACTGGAAAACAGCGAGAAGTTTAAAGAAAGGACCAAGAAATCTCATAAAAGACCTAAACATATAATGAACTGTGTTGTAAGTTACGATAAAGACGGAAATCCCATCATTAGCACAGACGATAGAGCTGGAGAAAGGGAAAATAAAACAAAGAAGGGAGGGATCGAGGACTCGACGGGACAGAATACAAACGACGCGGAAGACGTGATAGCGAAAAGGGAAAATCAAGATGAAAAACACGTAGAGATTCCGGTGAAAGATAGCAACAGCGAGGACATTCAAAAAAAGGATGAGAATCACAAAAAAGATACATTAGTTGACAAAGCTTTTAAAATGGACACGTTTGAACAAAAGATAGAGAACAATGAACAAAAGATGAAAGAAGAACAGAAAACAAATGTCCGCCCTTCATCAAAACAGAATCATTCTTATAAAAAACCTCCTCGATTCATTAAGAAAGGTTAGATAATTACCTTGTTGTTTAAGAAATATATGTTGCATGAAAAGCTAAAGCTACTGTAAACCAACTCGCGCGTGCGAGAAATTTTCGCGAGGTTCGCGTGATTCTCGTCATCGCGAATTTTTCTCGCCGCAAACGGGTCCTTAAAGTCTCTTTGTATTAAACAGTTCCATAAAAGGCTTGATCGCGAAAATTAATCGTCGCAAATAAAAGTTTGTTTACAGTATGTCTGTATCTGTATCAAATAAGAATTTTTCAATACATTTTAATACAATTGATTTATCTTTTAATGTAAGTAATTTCTTGTTTTATTGTAATATCTGTATTTTAGAAATGGAAGAATTGCAGGCACAGCAGAAAATGGAAAATACATGTACAACTATACAGTCCTCTAACAAGGTTTTTATACTATATATATACAAGATTTGATAACGCTATGTTTGATCCCTCCCACCATGCTTGTACACACCATGAAGATAACAACTTTGTTTTACCGCATCTTGCAATAGTGTAGCCCTCTCCGAACGTTTGATTGCAGCTACAAACCTAGCACTTGGCACCAATTTTTTCGAAGAATTAATCTGATAAACTAAGCCACCATCCTAAAAGTACTTACTTCTAAGCGAATTGATTGTTTAATATGTTGATTAACTATTCCGAAAAACCTGTGTTTGATCATCAAAGCGAATCTGGGGTCTTTTTATTTGATTTTTGTTTTGCTTCAAATGTTAATTTGGTAATAACAAGCGTAGAAAAACTTTCCCGCCATTGCGTGACATTCTTCTTGCGGAAGTGATTCAAATGCAATCCATGCGTCCCATGTTTAGCACTGACACCAAGAATCATTTGTATTCTCCTTCAGTTGTAACATTAATTTTAAAATTATGAAATTAAAAATAAGTATTGCTGTTACAAAAATAGTCATTCATTTATTTTTATAGCCTCTTGCAGAAACAGAAAACCATTCAGTTTTACGATCACCTAAAAAGTGAGTAAAATCTCTTTGAGACTAGTTTAATTGAAATTGTCGAAAAATAAGCCTTTAGCAATCTCAATAAAATGTAATCCTATTATGCAATGTAATTTTCTTAAAAAAATTCTTGATTGCTGATATTTATAATCTTTTTCTCTCTCTCTCTCTCTCTCTCTCTCTCTCTCTCTCTCTCTCTCTCTCTCATCTATCGCGCATAAAGCTTTTTTTAAAAAAATCTCTAAATGAAATATTAATTTGTCATTTCCAGGACATCAGAGAAAGAAGATTCGGTTCCATATTTACCACCGTCCTCTATAGCTTCGGAGAATTCAAGCATACCCAATTATCCAGTAGTTTCTGTGAGCTCTCTCAGCCAAACTGACGCTGTGGTACCCCCATACACTTCGGTGAAATCAAGCATGTCCACTACTCCAGTCGTTTCTTCGAGCTCAGTCAGCCATACTGTGGTGCCCCCTTACATTCCATTGACTTTGCCATACTGTCCAGACTACAGTTCTACCTACTGGCTACAATATCATATGGCACATGGTGTTCTGAACTCCAATACACCAACATCAAATACCAATCCACACACATGTACACAGACTACTATATCATGTGCACCAAGTTTGCAACCCTACCAGACATATCAAGGGTTATCTAGTACTGGGTCCTCAGCTCCTTTTGTTCCGAATCCACCATCTTCAGTTTTAGGGCCCAAAGAATCTACTTTTAATCCTAGTGTACCACCACCGCTGTCTGCTGTTGGACCACCTCCTAGTACACCCAACATCCCTCCTTTTCGGTATCCAGTCAATGTACCACCTCCTCTTTCTGCCGTTGGACCACCTCCTAGTTCACCTACAATCCCTCCTTTTCGGTATCCAATCAATGTACCACCGTTTCCGCAGTATATACAGACATTGCAACAACACGCATATCCCCAAATGCAAACAAATATGCCATCTCAAAATTACAATTTGTATTTTCTTCCTGTTGCCTGTCGTCCGTTGTTTCATCCATTAACAAGATATCCTTGTCAAAACCAGCCAGTGTCTATGGTAGGATATTTGATAAATTCCAGTGCACAAGCGGGAATGGGGAATACTTCGCGAACACCACCGCCTTTTTGCACTGCAGTTTCTCCAGATACCGTAAGGACCGAATCTTTAACAAGTGGAAACGTCCGAAACGATAATATTCCTCCTCCTGGTAATGCTGATTTATAGGACAAAGATAAAGAGGTAATTTTCTTTTTGTAAGATTTGTATTTTTATGGCGAGCTTTAGCTCGGCGCTCATCTAGCTATGGGGAAAATCTCTGACTGTTCACTGCTTTCTACATGCACCAAATAATATAGTTCTTGAACCAAGGCCTTCTTTCTGGCGTAGGAAAATACATAACAATTTTTTTGCGTTTATTCTATTTAAAAGCACATTCTGAATATGCTTCTTAGTCATTAATTTCATTTTGAACTTGTTTGTCTGACGTCAGACAGTACTAGATTTAGCCAATGCTTGTGGGACAAGTCATTCAGTAGAATTATTGTGATAACTCATCTTGGAAACTTCTTATTATTCTATCTTAACCATGGGAATTAATAAAACCATGCTAAACACCCAAACAAACCAAAGCATTGGACCTAATTATTATCACATTATACATTACACGTTACATAACATTTGGCCATTCTGATATGCATCACTATCATTCATCTACATCCAGTAAAGCTTTTCAGGTCAACGTTATCAGATTAACTAATAGATGTTTATTTTCACTGCATACAGTCTTTCTGCCTTTCGAATTACACATATTCCTAACTTTGCAGACAGGTGATTTAGTCATAGTTTAAAAATTTCAAGAGAAAGATGATGATTATTGATAAACTTTTTCTGTATTTTTATAATTAGAAAGATTTTATCTCATTTATAACAAGTATATTACAATGTATTTTGAAAAGAAATACACGACTGTATCATAATTCTCCAAATTCTTCACCAAATAATGTTTAGATTTGTAAAATGTGTGTTGTAACTTTTTCTTTCAAAATTAAATAAACACTGGTTTTATCTAGTATCTGGGAAAAGGCCAACCAGAAGAAATTTCACGGGGAGTGGGTGCACAACCAAAAATTTCAGGGGGGGGGGGCTTACTAGGAAAATTTTTTTATCAAGCAAATCAGTTAATATAAATATATTGTTTACATGACATTTGGGACACAGGCATAAAGTAGCTATGTTTTCTAAAGCATACAATTATATATTGGCAAAAATGTGGGTCCCTCCTCTTCATGTTTCCTACGGCCATATAAAAAAAGAAAATTACCAGTAATACAGTATAAGTCTATGTAGAATAAATTCATCTCCAAGTTTTATTTCATGTAGGTAAAACTTGATTAAACTTGTTTATCAGTCGTATTTGGGCTTAAATAGTCTTGTCCAATGATTCCTTGCACTTCTTATTGGGGTCATGTAATGGCTGTATCCATTTTAATGCTTTTATTTCATACATGCTTGGGGGGTATTCTAGATATTCAACTAAACTCAGAAGATTCTGTAGACATATGCATACTTTTAAACATGCTTGAAAATCCAAAAATTTCACTGTATCACTGCCATATCTAAAGCGCGACGCCATTGTGGCCCTTCAGGCTTTTGATCTATTATTTGGTCTTGGGGTGATGATACATGTTGGACCTGTGTTGTGCTTTCCATTTCTCGTATAAAGGTAAAGATTTATCGCAAGGAAAGAAATGTATACCTATGCATGTATAATTTCTCTTGTATACTTTTTGTGTATAGGGATTAGCGTTTCGCACGGTCTGCACGACCGACAATGCCTCGGGTCGCCACGCATGCAAAATTAAGTCCCTCCTCTTACATGAGAAAACCGTACGGTTAAAAATCTCGGCCTTTAACTGTTTAATGATAGACAATGAAATTGGCGGGTACAATTCGACGCGGACGGCCGAGAAAACATTGGATTGAAATTCTAGTTTGAAATTCATTTTCAATCCACCTGAGCTGTTTTCAAAAGCAATGTGTGAATGTTTGATTCAAAAGACAAATATTTTAATTCCCAAATACATGACGGTTGGTTGAAATGTATATATGATATGCGTTTATAGCCTATAAAATTATTTTAAGCTAGGACACTGGTAAAAGTCAAAGAAGACTTTTTTTCAGGAGACGGCCATTTGACTATAGAAAAGGCCCGGGTCAAAAACTGTTGAGTAATACCATGCCATATATTTATTTTTAGGATGAGAAAAGGTTTTTTTTAGCTTTGTCTCCACTGAAAAATGTTACAACTTCCTTATTTATTTCCAAGATCGTTAAGCCCCCCCCCCCCCCCCACGCACACATACATATACCAAACAGAAAACAGATATCAAATCGATATATTTTTCCCTTCAATTTCTTTAAAATGCTGGACAGAAAATTCCGATTTATACATTATTTTCAAACTATACCGAAATTGAAATTATTTGTCGTTAGAGTCAATCAGTAATAAAATGCCTTCTATAGCGTACATGTAGCTGAGGTGGATTGAAAATGAATTTCAATCCACAACTTAATTAAATGTGATGACTTGAACTTTTCAATCGTTAAAGTGACAATACGACGCATCTCTTCAAAAACTGACAAGTTTGTTAAAATTTTCCTATAGGATTTGGATTTTTTTTTTCATACTCATAAATGTATACACTTTCAGAAAATTTACAAATTTCATAAGTAAATAATTCTGATTATTTCTTTAAAATTAATAATTATTTATGGTTCAAAAAAAGAAACGGGATCTCGGCGAGATCCACGTGGGTCTCGCGAAGGTTCTTCCCTACAGGTTGTTGATACATGCCATCATTTCTCGTATCTCCATGGCTTTCAAAGAAAAAAAAAATCAGTACATGTAAACTCAACATTAAAATGCACTTATGACATAAAATTTATTGCCATTTGAAGTACAAATTGTATTGGAACTACATCTTCCGGATTGATAAATGTAAAATACTTTTTTTAAAATTTGTATCAACATTAAATACACTCTAAAAGTTGCTTTAATAAAGATTCTGACATGATCAGGCCAGAAAAATAATGTTTTAAAAAAAGTACTACACCTATATACATAAACTCTTAAAGGGACGCAAGCGGACATCTTGGAAAAAATACCCCCTCCCACTTCCGCACCTATTTCTGGACTCTAAACCATTAATTTATTTCGGTATCATGGCTCTGTCTCCTACAGTGATGATTTTCCTAAATGTTGATGCGGTTGTCAGTCGTGAACACGCGTTTATTCAACAGTAAACGGATACAATTTCTTCGATTTGGAGCTCATCTCGCTGAATCGACCTATAAAGAACGGAAGTTGACATGGTTGCATGGTAACGACGCAAGGGCAATAATCGAGGTATAGCATATAGCGCGCTTTTAGAGCAAGTGTCCTGTAAATTATGAAACAAATTACTTAAATATTAAATGAGTCTTGACAATTTAGCCTGTGAAACCAAACTTTAGCCCGTATTTATCAGTTTTCACTGTCTTTTTCTTGTCGGTAAACATTTTTTCCGCGAAGCTGGAAGTCCTTTGGCGTTACCATTCGCTTTCGATTACCCTCGGAGTTCTCCGTATACAATAATTATCTGCCCTTGCAATTTTGTCAACATCCGTTCTTTATAGGTCGGTTCAGCGAGATGAGCTCAAAATCGAAGAAATTGTATCCGTTTACTGTTGAATAAACGCGTGTTCACGACTGACAACCGCATCAACATTTAGGAAAATCATCACTGTAGGAGACAGAGCCATGATACCGAAATAAATTAATGGTTTAGAGTCCAGAAATAGGTGCTGAAGTGGGAGGGGGTATTTTTTCCAAGATGTCCGCTTGCGTCCCTTTAAGAGTTTATGTATATAGGTGTAGTACTTTTTTTAAAACATTATTTTTCTGGCCTGATCATGTCAGAATCTTTAATATGTTCTACGGTGCGACCGTTGGGGCGAGCGCAGTTATTTACTTTCAAATTCATTAACACAACTTGCATCGGGATCGAGATTCCGAACTTTTCGGAAGTTTCCGAAAAAATCGGAAATACCCGAGCCGTTAAGTGACGAAACTATGACGTGAAATAAAAAGTTCTGTTGACTTGGAACGCAAACGATAGTTTTGTGGCATGGAGATTGCATTAAATCGTTGTTTGTAATTTTTTTCAAGTAAGTTGTTGCTATGTTTAAGCCACCATGTTGCTATGCACCGCAAAGGATTATTGGGATTGAAGAATGTTTTCACGTGGACTCATAAAAATTTCTTGGAACAATGTGCAGATTTCAACCCGAATTTCCTCCGTTCGTACACGTTAGTCTATTGAGCTCGCTACGCGAGCGGCGCTTCGCGCCGCCTCGCTGCGCTCGCTATTAAAGCAACTTTTAGAGTGTATTTAATGTTGGTACAAATTTTTTAAAAAATTATTTTACATTTATCAATCCGGAAGACAAGCCCCAATGTACAGAAAGGTATTATGTTTGACATTTTGCCGCGATGACGTATGATTTGGTGGATTTTCCTGTCAGTGACCTCCGAAACAAGTGCCTGCATGGTATAATAATAATAAAAATTTAAGAATTGAGAAAATTTTTGGGTTTATATGTAATAAAAATGAATTCGATGTTTCATAAATCAACGACTGTTTGCCACTCACTCAGACTGGGGAAGGGGGGAGTAAATGATGTAATACTTTCACTGACGTCACAATTACTTGTAAAGAGAATGTGCAGACGATGTCGAGCAAAGTGAAATCGCGCAAGGGCGAATTGCCTCTCCTTGCGTCTTCAGTATTGTGCTTCGGATTGTTTTTAGGTTTACTGGTTTATGCTTGTGTGATTTGCATGGTGTGTCCTTTGCAGTGTTCCACCAGATCAAGTTATACGGTGGTGTCGCTGATATTTCTCTGCATGGCTCTGATGCAGTTGGTCGTCTTTTTGATTGTCAGGAGCCAAAAACTTAAAGAAAAGGTTACAAAATTTACAGATCAAGAAATACAACTGACGCCTGAGACGAAGTTAGAGGTATTTATTCTTATACCTGATTTTAAGGGAATTCTTATCCGTTTTGGTCGCCATACAATATTTGTACGTAGATTTTCAACGAATCAGCTAAAATATGCAGCCTTCCTTTCAGTTTAGTAAACTGCGTGAAGGATTTATGTCTCTGTTGAAAAGAACAATACACGATGGTTTGTATTGTTAAAATATAATATAATGATATCATGACGTTTGTGTCTTTTGAAAAGCGGTTGGTAAACAAAATTGTGATCTGTGGTGGATCCAAGAAAGAAAGGAGGGATCACGAACCCTTTTATCTCTTTGCGATCCGACATTTTTTTTCTTCATTTAAGGTAAAAAAGGGTAATTTTAAAGTTCTGACTCAGTTTATTAATTACATGTACAGCTTTCGATTGTTTAAATCGTATATAGTATTTATGCAGTATATAAAGTATGGTGGCATATTTCTGCCACAACTTGTCGGAAGTTTATGATGTCAACTGTTTGACTTCTCATAATGTTTGACAACTTTTCAGATAATTGTTTCGACTTGTCAGATAAAAATCATCATATAACCAAAAAATCAGATATCTTGTTTTATTAAGTATTTATTATTTAAATTATTATATTTATTAACTATCACAAGTCAACATACTTTTCTGACAAAGAATTTTTCTGACAAGTTGGCATCATCAACAACCCAACATAATTTTTTGACAAGTGGGCTTGTTGACTTGTAAAATATTATGTCCACTTGTCAGAAAATTAGGTAACTTGTCAGATCTTTATGTTGACTTGTCAGATACTTATCATTATGTCAACTTGTCAGAAAATATGTTGTACCTCAATGTCAGGACAACTGCATGTTCATTTTGAATGTTTAAAAAGGTGAATATGTGACAAGTTAACAAACAAGTCTCGCAAGTCAATCAGCTGACAAGAGAACAAAAAGATCAGACAAGTGCACAATCATCTGACAAGTTGGGACAGGTAAAGGAGGAAAAAAACGCAACATTGTCATTTTCTATTTTCAGACTCAAAGCTAAGCAAAAGAGAATATTGGAGAAATCGATACAATTGGGAGAAGCAAGTAAAAATGGACTGGCTGGTGGATGCAGACAAAGTTTCTGAAAATCTTGAACCTAAAATTCATCACCTATATAAAAGATTAGACAAAGTGTGTTTAAACATTCTTGACCTTGGTTGTGGAACATCAGATGTTGCCTCTGTGCTCCTAAAGAAATGTAGGTCACCCATGGACATTTACTGTGTAGATTATTCAGAAGGAGCACTTCAGTGGCAGAAAGGGTTGCTTTCTGCATTGAATCAAAAACATGGGAACATCATGTCAAACTACTGGCTTGTTATGGCGGATATTTGTCACTTGCCTTTTAAAGATAATTTTTTTCATGTGATTCTTGATAAAGGAACTATTGATTCTCTTCTAAAATCAGAAGACGGTCAAAAATTGGCGGAAAGTTCTATGACAGAAATTTTGCGTGTGATGCATCCAGCAGGAAACTTGTGGCAGATCACTGATGAAGATCCAGATGTCAGATTACTATTTTTACAAACAGTGCAGAACGACATCAAAAAGAAATATTCCTCCTCATTCGAAATATTGCTGAGTGATAACATAAATGAATACTTTCTGTATACTGTTAAAGAGGATACTCATGAAAAATCTTAATTTTAGTCCATGTTCAATTAGATTTATTTGTAAATTATTATCTCATATGTATGAAATTTAATTTTTTTTTTACATGAACCTTTATTATTTCCAAACTTTAAACATGAATGAAAGAAAGCTCATGGTTTTAATAAATTCTAATAATTAATGAGGAAAAATTTCAATATTTATTTGATATTTAATCATTTTAATAATGAATACTTCAACTGAGATTGGTCCCTGGATATACCATTGACACATTGATGTGATACAGGAGGGAAGAAAGATGCAGTTGAGCTTTAGTCAGTGACTGAGTTTTAGTCACCAGCAATCTAACTTGTCAGACTGCCGTATTCCTCTCTCCTTAGAAGGTCTTTGGTTCCTGAAAACACAAAATTAGGTTCTTCCCTACAAGTCTATTATACTGTCACATGCAGGGCATGGCACAGCACCCCAGAATTGAATAATTTCAATTCTTTATTGGCACTAAAGCACATATTTATATACAGAAATGTGTTGTTAGCCATATACATGTATTGCAAAATATTATACTATCATACCTGTCAACATTGCCAAAATTTTTCGGGGGAGAAAACGCGCGACGACCTTTTGCTAATACAAAAAGTCGCTTATTTCACTGTTTTATAGAACAAAAATAAACAACTTACAAGATAAAACTTTATTATTAATATTAACATTATCATTAATTCATAAAATTTACTGTTTATTCATATATTGTTTAGAAACTTGTACAATGTGATTTAATTTTGAAATTATAAAAATTTAAATTCACTATCTATATCCTGCCTGTCAAGAAGAGCACCATTTATATAATATTCATGGCAAATGTTGTAGTTTAACTTGGCAATTAGAAAAATTAATAAGGTACTGCAGACAGTCTGTGTTTCCAGCTTTTAATTGATGTATAAATGGATTTTTCTCACTAAGTCTAAGGAACATGTGTCCTGGATGTAAAGATCTGAAATTGAAATAATTGTCAAAACTTCATGCTATATATTCTTAAATTAATGTGTAATCTAGAATGAATGAAATACATGGACCCTGTAATTTTTTTTCTTCTTTTAATCTCATAACATATACCAGAATTTTTTAATATAATACTTTTTTTAGTAATGTTCTAGTGTGCTAATTTTATATTTTAATTTAGAAATATATTACCCTGTTTAGCTTTGTAAATTTAAAGAAGTCTTCTAAAGAAACTGTCTTGTTGCTTTGTAGTTTCAGGGGCTGTTATAAGCATAGGCACTCCCCATCTTTATTGTTAAAAAAAATATATATCTTCTATACCATAAACATAACTAGTATACTGTATAGAAGATAAATTTTTTTAACAATAAAGATGGGGAGTGCCTATGGTTATAAGCTGCAAATCTGTGGGGAAATCTTCAGACTTGATTTTTGTTAGCTTCCATGAAATTGTTTCCCTCTCCTTGTTAAATTAATAATAGAGTACTGTAGCTACATCTTTCCTGATCACTGTATTTTTTATGGAGAAATAGTTTTGTCTTGGGTACTTGTTAACTTATTTGCAGCAAAGTATCAAGTACTTCCATATCGTTATTTACCGTCATGTCCTGTAAAAATTTTCACATCTGGCATCTCTGTCTTTAATAATATACACTTTTAATGAGAATAAGGAGCAATAACAACTGCAATTACATCTGCTAGCACAGTTGACACCTTGTTGATTACCTGTTATCAGTGGCAATAAACATATTAGCTACCGATAACACTGCATGTCCTCCATTTTTGTGTTGACTAGTCGGTATTTTACGAACCGAAGTAGGTAAAAAATCCGGATTTTTTTCAAAATCGGTAGAAACGGCAGTTTAAAAAAAAATCGGTAGACAGGCGGTAGGGATGGTTAAAAATCGGTAGACTCCCGATAAAATCGGGAGAGTTGACAGGTATGTACTATTGTAAAAGCTTGTTTCTAATATCAAAACAGTCTCTGATATATAAACAGATTTGTTTCGTAGATATAAAGTTATGTGGATTAAGCAAACAAGATAAGTTATTAACATCTAGTAACCTTGAATACTTTTTTCTGACATTTTTATACACAGGACAATCAAGTAAAAAATGTTTTTCATCTTCAACAATAGTTTTACATTGGAAACAAAATCTATTTTCTCTAGGAATGACAGGATTACAGTATCTACCTGTTTCTACGTACAACTTATGTGCACTTATTCTTAACTTGGAAAGATAAGATAATAAATTCTTATGAAGTGGAAAACACAAGTATGGTTGGATTTCCAGTTTCTTAGCATCATAGTTGAATAATGTACTATAAAATGACAGCTTACCGCATTGAGTATTGTTAATGTGTTGGAGTTCAGAAAAAAATTTATTTTCAAAGAAATTTTTAAGTTTAGGACTAAAAGTTTTAAAATCTGTGTCAAAGTTAAAATCTAACATCTTCTGTATTGATTTTATACAACTTTGCCAACATTTTTTATTTTCACTGGCCAATCGAGTATCTTCCAAGTAAGCATTCTTGAGTAAGACATTGCAATTATTATTTGTTTTTGTTAACTTTTCCAATCTGGAATAATATTTAAAAACAAGCTGGTAAATTTTGGTATATACAGGGAAAACACCTAATTCAATTTTAGTTGCTAAATTTGATGCTTTATTATGGACACCTAAGATGTTTTTTAAGATAAAATTTTGGATTTTTTCAAAAGGAGTTTTATCAAAATTATTGGGATTTGTATTAAAATCAGAGATCCAAATTTCTGAAGAGTATGTTAAAATTGGAACAATAATTGATTCATATAGCTTTAACCACAAGCTGGGAGAGAGATTTGAGCCAAAGGGTAGTTTATGCTTTAAGGCAAAATAAGCTTTTCGGGCTCTGGCAGCAAGGTCATCACAAGCATGTTTTAAATTGCCATTTGATTGTAAAAATATACCAAGATATTTGTACTTATCAGTAATACTTATATTATTATTGTTATAATAAAATGCATAATATTTCTTTATTTTTCTGGTAGAGCAAATCATAACCTTTGTTTTTTCTAAGTTTACATGCAACTTCCATTCTATACAATATCTTGAAAGACTGTCAATACAATTTTGAATTTCAAACATAAACCTAGGCCTACACTGAATAACAGGACTGAGGTACATGTATAAGGAAAACAAGATTATTCAGAGAATTTGTATCCCCTGCTTCATGGAAAAGAACATGGAACTAGATTGGGGGATCAGGGACACATTATGAGGGGTGGGCTGGTCCATCAGGAGGTATGGTGTAAAATTTCATTGCAAAAGCCTCCTGACATATTGCCTGGAAATGAAAGTTTGTCACACATTTAATATGAATTTACAAACTTGGACCTTTTAATCTCTAAATGAATGGGGTCTTTCTTGTGCAACAGGGAGTTGTGTAAAATTTCATAGCTAAAGTTCAAAGGCTTCTTGAGATATAACACGGAAAGAAAAGCTGGATATAAAGCATACAGAATTTATGACCTTTGACTTTTTGACCTCAAAATCTACAGGGGTCTTCTGTATGCCATAGGGAGTTTCATATATAATGTCATTGAAAAAGCTCAAAAGCTTCTCGAGATATTATGCAGAAACAAAAGTATTATAGTTAGATGCACTAAAATTAATAACCCCCCCCCCCCCCCACTTTCAGTGAAAGGTGAGGACAATAATAAAGCAAAAAAATGTAAAACAAGTTTATTTTAATTTTTATTGATAAATACATGATAAAGAATTATTAACAAACAGTCCATTCAATTGTAAAAATATCCTATAACAAAAAAGGAAGGGAGGCAAATCCTCAAATTGCCCTTAAAACTATGGTATTTATTATTATAGTTACATGTAGACTTTTTGTTATTCCACTTTCCTAATTTAAAGTGCAAACCCCAATTTTTCAAATTTATTATTCATTGATTTCTATACTTCTTTCTTTGCATCATATGTAGTACCAGTGAAATGTGACTGTCATTATATTTATTTTACAAGTACATATATTTATCTAATAACATTTTAATATATTGTAAAGTCCACGAAATCTGATTTTTAGTTTTTTAAAGCTGTTTCGATTTTTGAGTCACAGTAATGCTTTAAAGCACTAATCTTCGTTATCAGTATTAGATGTTTTGGTTTAAAAGCCCCCCCCCCCCCCCCTCCCCCCAAAAAATGCTTCTTTTACCTTTCCTAATTTTTTTTGCCCAATTTGGCCAAAGCACAGATAAATGTTCTTTCTATGTCGAAGTTTCATGTTTTTTTAATCTATATGTAGTTTAAATTTCCATGGTGTATAAAGTGTTCATGTCTTTTCAAGGAATTTTAATTCCATTAATCTTTATAATATAAGCATACCCAAGATGGAGAAAGATTGACTACTTAATATCAAACAGATTTTTAAAATCTTAAAAAGATATTCAACATTTTTTGAAATTTAAGAAAAATAGTAGAAAATTTTACATTGAATCAAAATAAATATTTAGCACAGAAATGCACATTTAAGTATGTACTTGCACCTTTGCATGATCTTCAGTTTCTATCCCCAGTAACCTGTCTGTTTGAGTCAACTACAGTGTCCTCCCCCTCTTGGTCACTGCTTTCATGACCCTCCCTCAAATCTTCATATCTGTTATCATTCTCAATATGCTGTTCTACATCAGGAAAATTTAACTCTTGTGTTGCAAGCTGAACGATTTCATCTTCATCCTCCTCACTGTCCTCTAAGTTAACGTTGAAATCGTCTATCACTGGGTCACTGACAGAATTAAATACATAATCCTCTGCATAGAGTTCTGACTGATCATCATGTACATCTTCACTACTGTCATTGTCACTACTTGAATTAGCTGTTAACTCTGAGGAGTAACCATTCATTAATGCCTGGGAATTTTCCTCTGCACATCTATCTAGATTAGCTTGGGAATTATTGTTATCATTACTGACATCTCTCCCTATACTAGCACTACTTTCACTGTGATTCAATGTGGAGCCCTCGTTTAAATCAATACCTGGTCCGTCTTCACAATATCTCTCCAAGTCTGAATGTGTGGACTGAAAATTCTCAACGTCTCTATCTTGTTCCTCTGGGTTTTCATCGGTATCGTCATTGGAGTCCATTTCTGTATTGTCCAACAAGTCCCCGTCCTCTAGTTCTCCCAGACTCTTGGCTATCCTTCTGTATCTCGTTTCTCTTAAAACACCTTTGGCACGCTGAGTTTTTGGATGATCTGGCCCTAATATTTGTTCACTCACCCTCGCCCATTTTTTGAAGTACTCATAAGCTTTTTTATAATCATTATTGTCCTCATATACAATTCCAATGTTGATATACAGTCTTGATGTCAGAATGTGGTACTCCCCATACATCTGCATGCATAGATCTTTAGCAGTGTTATATAACTGCAAAATGAACAAAAATATGTAATACTGGATGTAGCATGCATTAAACAATTAGCACAGTAGCAAAATAATTGTAAGTTGGAAATAACTTACCTTTAATTGCTCCATACTACCCCGTGGTGCCAGCACACCTTTTGTCATCTGAGCTTCTGCATAGTGTCCCATGTCATTTAGCTGTATTTATAATATGAAGATATATGTATAAGTATACAAGTAAAGGATACTTTTTAAAGTTTGTTTGTTTGAATACCTTAAGACATACTAAATTTTGGATTTCAATTTTCCCCATAAAATACATGTAGACCAATTAATGTAGTTTAAAATAATGAACAGTACTATTAGTAAATTTTAATTTTCTCCATTTAGCCTTTGAGAAAATGGTAAGATACACATATGTTCCTGATCTGCTGTTGTTGTTTTGATTAAGTTTTAAAACATACCTCCTCAAATATTTCCAATGCTTTGTCGATATATTTATTTCCCACTTCTAAGGCCTGTTCTCCAGATAGCTCACTGCCCCCTCCACAGGCTTCCCAGCTCTCCATGTTAAAGGCCAGCTTCATAAAACTCATACCTAGCTTAAACTTAAGATAACACAAAGTGTTATAAATATTAAAATAAAATTCTTTCATTTAGAATTGACTTTTTATTTCTACAAATACTAATACAAGAAAGTGGAAATGACATTACTAACTCTACTTGTCAAGACATAAAGGAAACAAGCTAATTCAGAGAATTTGTGTCCCCCGCTTAGGGAAAAAGTAAACCATGCGCAGTTCCTGGAGGGGGGGGGGGGTGTCAGATCCCCCTGACTTAAGTTGTAAATAATTAAATTTGTAGAATTATTAAATGTATACATGTATACTGAAGCAAATAAAATACATGTATGTCAATATGCATATAAAGATTTAATTGCTTATTCTCTCTTGTGTGTATAGAAGATTCTTTTTTTATGGAATATTTATCACACTGTAATAATGATTTTATAACCTCATAAATTTTTCATTTCACATGCTGAATACTATCATTTAGTAAAAAAAAAGTATTTAAAAAAAAAAGAATGAATCGACCGGGATTCGATCCCGGGACCTCTTACAATTGAAGCGAGAGACATGACCACTGGACCACGAAAGCACTTCACCCGATGTGAAGTATATGCAGAACTGAAGTCACATACATGTATATATTCATGTTTTCATGTTCGGTATTCTCAAAATTTTACACAATCCATGGTGTTTGATTTATTTAGCCTTTATTAAACAGTTCTAATAGATGTAATAAGAACATAAAGTCCGCCGAGAACCTGTTTTATACGCAATAACTCTCCTCATGCCCCTGCGCTAAAAATAGCGACATGTAATACTATAAATACTAATAAAACAAACGGGGCGGGGCACTTTGAGAGGGGCGAGAGACGTCCTAGGGAGTTTTGGTATAAAATTACATTGCATAAGCTCAAAATCTTATTGAAATATCGCCCGGAAATGATAGTATTACACACAGTCAGAATGTATAAATTTACGACCTTGAACTTTGACCTTTTGACCTCAAAATCAATAGGGGTCTTCATTAGGCCACAGGGAGTTGTTATATAAAATTTCATTGCAATAGCTCAAATGGTTCTAGAGATATCGTGTGGAAACGAAAGTGTTTTAACAGACAGAATTTGCTTATTTATGACCTTGACCTTTTGACCTCAAAATCAATAGGGGTCTTCTTTAGTCCATAGGGAGTTGCTATGCTAAATTTCATTGCAAAAGCTCAAAGGGTTCTCGAGATATCGTGTGTAAACGAAAGCGTTACAGACAGACAGAAAGACGGACGGACGGACAAACCCAAATTAATATCCCCCACTTTTCAAGCGGGGGACAATAAGAAGCACTTGGAAATTTTGATTAAAATTACACATGCATGCACTGTGTCATCTTTCCTTACCTTGTGGTAGTTTCCTGCTAGGGTTTTCCTGAGTGCTATAGACTTCTTTCCATAGTAAATTGTCATTCTAAGGTCTGGAATTTGACTGGGACTGACAAAGTCATTCAGTTTCAGTTTCTGAAGGAAATTCAAAATACTACAGTACAACTTGTATAATTCCACATACCATAAGTAAATCTGATAGGGTAATTCTTTAGCATTTAGTTCCTAATTATGGTTTTTATTTGCTATAAATGTATTCTAATTTGCATCTATACCACTATTATGAAGTATATTAGGAATGAGATAAAGTTGCTTTAATGGAAAAAAAAATTAGGGCCTTATTAAATTAATTTTATTCTGATCTATATATAAAGATAGGATATACATGTTTGCTATAAAGAATACCTCATCATAGATTTCCGCCATTAGGGCATAAAGTTCCACCATCCTGTGGGGTCTTGCTCCTAGTTCCTTCTCCTCTATTTTAAGGGCTGTTTTTAACAGTTCCAGAGCCTCTTGATATTTACCTGCTTGTATCCTGTATGTAGTAAAAATTGATACATGTATATACAATATACTATAATATCCCCAATAATAAGAAAGACTAATGTATACTGGTACAATAAGCTTGTGCACTTATGTTATTAGAGAGGGCTTGCTTACACAACTCTGCAAACTTTTTCATATCTGATTGAAATGGCTTCCTCATCAACACTTTCATCCTCTTCAAACTTCTTTAAAGCTCTGTCATACATTGTTATCATTTCTGTGGCTTTTCCAACCTAATTATTGAAAATTTAAATAATGATTTGATGAAATATTCTTTCTGACAAACAAATTTTGAATTCTAATTCAACAATGATAACATTCTTGTAGTTTCCAATTTTTTTTTAATTTTTTTTTTTTTTAGATAGTAGAGTGATATAAGTATACACATCTATAAATCAATTCTGTCACCACAGTATAGATACAAAAGTCTACAAACCTTTCTCCAATATTCCAACAATTTAGAACTATATTCCTCATTATACAAGGCATCAAACACTTTCCAATCACACAAACAGTCACTAAGTCTATAACTGTCTTCTAGACATACTAACTGGTACAAATATTCCTGTAAATAAAGTTAAAGCTAGTAACTACAAAATTACATTATCTTTGCTGATTCTGACGAAACTATGTATTTCAAATAAAAAAAAAATGTGTAAAATCAACATCCAAAATAATATGGATCTTAAAATTTGTCATTGAATTCTTCAGATAAAGTACATGTAAATTTCATATCCTGTACATAAAATTCAATTCAGCTGTATACAGAAAAACTAAATTATACCTCTATATATCTATCTAAGTTGTCTGAATTCTCAAAATAACTGGCCAGCATTTTATGCCACCAATAGTAATTATCCTCCTCTCCGCCTGTTCCTCCCTGATCTTCTACTTGCTTAAAGTACCTTTTAAAATTAAGGGCAAGAGTTTAATACTGTAAATTCCTTATTTTTCGCGAGTACTTTTTATCGTGTACTGGCTCTTCAACGTCAAATCGCGAGAATAATAATAATCCGCAAATGGACAGTTGATCCATAGATTTTAAATGGATTTCATCACCCTAAAAAAAAACAAGTTATATTATTTCGCGAGTGACGCTTCTAGCGAAATTACGCGGAAATTGATTCCTCGCGTATAATTAGGAATCTTCAGTATACATGCCATGTACATTCATGCACCTTTGTTACAAATATATCAGAACAATTACTTAAGACATATAATCTAAATCTGTCACTAAAAGCCTTGATTATTACCGGTAGTAATTTCAATTAAGTGTGAAGTTTTGCATTACGTAACGATATTTTTCGACAGATGCATCCAGTGTAATCAATTCACACCCCTGCTGCGTGATTGGTCAACTCATATTATCAACATTGACAAGGAAATAGTCTGTTGCATGAGCAACTAATCAGGGATTAGAAGAAACTTCCAGTCATAAAGCTTGAAGTTAGGAGGCGTGTACTCTTTACCCTGAGCGCAGTTGTCATCATAGGTTGTGACGTAATGCAAAACTTCACACTTAACTGAAATTACTAATATTCCATTTCTTATTTGTTGAAGACATATGATTCAGGTTAAAAATATCATAGAGGGTTACATTATTGCAGCTAATCACTCGGTTTGGCTCAGAATTTGATTTCTCTCTTTTCCTTAATGATTCTTGATGACAAACCTATTTTTTACGGCATGATGGAGGGCCTGGTGATACAAATTAAGTCTGCCCTGGCGAGTTTTACCAGAAGGTGTGAGAAATGGCTGCAGCTGAGAATATACCACATTCCACAGATCATCAGAAAGAGGTAGATTTTGTTTACAGATTTCCTTCTCAGAAGATTCTTTTTCCTCTGAAAAAAAGAAAACATTTTAAAGGTTCACTTATGTAACAAGGATCCTCTCATACAAAAACTTATTTAAAAGAAATTCACATAGTAAACATGCATTCATTCACAATATATTAATTCTACAACTAATTTATACAAATAGAAAGAAAACTACCCTTAAAATCATACATTATTAAGTATTTTGATCTTGACTTCTGATTAATTATCTTTGCTAAATTCATGTAATGTGCCCAATAAACATACCGTATAGCGGGTTTTTTTGGCGGGTGTAAAATCTGGCGTTTTGTCCGCTCAAAGGTATGCCAATAATTTTGGTGTAATTTATTTTAGTGTACGCATGGTTTTAGCTCTTTGGAGATGAACACTTAGAAGAGTATTGACTATTTTAACGGTTAAGTTTTAGCGGCCTATCATCAAAATGCCAAAATAAGCTAAAATTAGCACCCCGCTAAAATTACCCGCTATACGGTAGGACATTCTTTCAGGGAAGTACAGTGAAACCTTATCTTAAACTTGATGGGACTGAGAAAAAAATTAGAAATCTGAGGATATCAATAAAACTGCAATTTTTCACAATGATAATTTATCAATTTTCATGGTTTAACATGCCTGTTCACCTCTCCTCACAGACTCTCTGTGGGTAAAGTGAAAGGCAGAAGGGCATAATTTTTTTATTTTTTATTTTTACCCTTTTCATCAAACTCTGAAGGTGGCATTAGAGTGGTGGTGTTCCCCAACAACTGCCTCAGTTCTGGTTCCAGCAGACCTGATGATGAAGCTTCTAGAAGGCATATGGTGGCAATGGATAAATCACGATCTGGGGAACCCTCAAATCTCTTCAACACAGCATCCATCAAGCTGCAAAAGTAGAATTATTTTTTAAAAGTAGAATATGATATGAAATTCTTAGACTGCCACTATGTCTTACATGTCTTTAATTACAGTGGGACAAATTACCTATATCACTTACTTTAGCAGTCCCTCTGGTGTTGAATCAATTTTATTGTCAATTTCATTTCCATTTTCTAGAGGCCTTAACTCTTCACAAAACACAGTCAGCCAAAGTGGATTACAAGAGGATTCTTTTGTCATGATTTTTTCCAACTGCCTTTCAGAAATTGTTTTCCCATATTTTCCAAGCAATTTTGTTACAATTTTCTGATGATATAAAAATGAAGTTAGTTAATGCATCATAAAGATATCTACAGGGTTGTGTTATATAAATTTGTAGAACATCATTACTTTAAACCAGATACAAATTCAAGCAGAACAACTGTTGATAAATTTAATAATAGTTTTATTCCCACCTTTCTAGAATCAAGGTGTAAGCATGGCACCACATACTCAATAGGTTTGGTTTCCCTGTTGACCAAAGTTGTGTGTTGAAAAGAATCCGTAAGAATGGAGAATATGCACCGAACCTGTGGAGCCAGTTTCCTTGGTAACCACGACATCACCCTAGCTGCTTGATCATCTGCAAACTGCATATCAACATAGTTAAAGTCAAGTCAGAAGTTTAAGTGGAGTTTAAAGCACACTATTTCATTTTCTGACCAAAGGATGTATTCGCCTTAACAAAAGAATTGACCTATAGGAGAGAACAATTTCCCGGAAAAAGTGACATTTAAAAATCAATCTTTATTTGCTGTTTTCTATCGTATATATGTCTAAATTTTTCAAATTTGTATTTTATACCTAAAATTTATTAATTACAACTTTACAATAAACCTCCAAAGTTGACCGAAACACCATTTTGTCGGTTAAAGCGTTGAATTTTGCATGAATTTTGGCCTTGAAGTCCTTCAGGGCAGGCCTGCCCCTAAAAAAAATTGTGGTATTTTGATAGATTAGGATGTAAGGAATAATTTAAGATACGATTTTTTTAGGGGCACCCCTGCCCTGGGGTCGAAATTCACAAAAAACCTACAAAAAATAAGGAAACCTCATTTTCATAATCTGCTTTAAATTTATGTCGATTATTCTTATAGTCAGACTAGCTCAGTTGATACATACGCTGGCTTTTTACACCTTGGATACTTTCTTTTTAAAGTCGGGGGTTCGAATCCACCTGGTACAACACTTTTAAAGTTTTAAATTTCGTTTTCTCATAGACTATTTTAATTTTTTTATAGACCTGTGTATTTTTCCTTCAATTATCTATCCTTTATGCATGCCCATTCTTGATATAAGACTAAAGAGATATCAAATCGTAACAACCCAATGTACAGTTGTCAGTCAGGCGGAACGAACCTCAGCACTCTTTCTCCGAGGACAAGAATAACTCACTATGTGTTACTCAGTACAGGTATTCTTGGCAGCATTGAGCTGCAATGAATTTCAATTGTATATATTTCTTAGAATTTAATCACATTGATTTTAGCTACGTATTTCAGTAAATGCACTCCCTGGGATTTCATTTAGGCCTATATAATTTGCACACATTATTGACATGTTTTATTATATCCACGGATAAATAGCCTAGACATAATGAATAGAATTTCAGAGACAGTAGACATTACCTTTATGCACAAAAGAAGTAAAGACAAATATTATTTATTACGTTTGGTATAACAAACTCAGAAAATTAATGAAAGGGTTCCTCCTACCTCTACTCACTGACATAAAGATTTAGGTAAAACAAATTGTTATATGTATTCAGCCTAATGTCATTTACTGGAACGGAAATCGACAAGCTTTTTATAGAGAAAAAAACCAAGCCTGGTCCTATAGGTCAGAACCCTATTTATAACGAAGTGATCCTTTTTAGTGTTTCTACACTCTGTTAGAATTTTATATATGGAAATATTGGCCCATTTTACTCTTGTTGTAAGAGGAAAAATTTAAAACAGCATTCTAGGAAAACTGCACTATCTCTTTAATGCAGCTGTTTGAGAGTATACTTAAAATGGAACAAAATAATGTTTGTAAGTGTGAAAAGGCAATAATAACATGAATACATCTACTTTGTATGCAGTAATGGTCATGATTTAATGATGGATAAAGAATTTAAATTGAAATTGCATCAGTGCTCTTGTTTTGTGCATAATATATTAGCAATCATTTCTAACATGTATATCAGAGAATATTCAGCATTAATAATTATGTCGCCCCGAACAAAGTCGGGGGCAACGTATTGCGATTGTATGCATGTTTTTGTTCTCCAGGCTGTTTCTCGGAGATGGCTGGGACAATCTTCCTGAAACTTTCCTTAAAAGACGATCACTGGTTGAAACTTTCTTATATTAATGATTCGCGTTTAAAATTTTTAAATAATCGATTGTTGCCTTGGGAACCAGGGGAAAGTGAAAATTCTTTAACTTTGATTTTTAAATCAAAGTACTGAAAGGACTGATACGAGTTGATGGTTGTCCAAGCTTAGCTTATGGGTATTGTTTTAGTGATGAAAAAATGAGTCTTGTCCAGTTCGGGGCGACATACGCTATTGCTTGCAAAAGCAGACTTTCTAGTTGTTTTTACTTTTGTTGTCAGTCACATCATCTTACCTGATGGAGAGCATCAATAAATAATATCATTGGTTTTGTGTTGGGATTGGATAGAAGACTACAACACATCTGAGCAGTGGCATCTACTCCGCGAGGAATGTTATTGTCCTGTAATCAATAAACAAATACATTGTAATCAGGTATACATAAATGTACATGCACATAATTTAAAAGTAATCAAGATTCCTAAATATTTTGCAGATGAAGTATTATTTAGAAATCACAAATGCATCAAATATTTATTAAATTCTAAACGTACATGTATCAAAATGAATAATATTGAATAATAAAAATTTACTAAATTATGGGGATTGAGGCAAGAGTTTGTTTTTTATTCCCCTTCATCTGTTGTGTTATCCTGTTTATGTACCTCCCACAAAATCAAGTTTGAAGGAGTTTGTATTTTTTCCTCTAAATGTGAACTTACATTTAAAACTTCCATTTCCACTAGGAGTCTTTTTAACATGGATTCCAGACAGCTGGAACCAGGTACTGACCCCGTGAAATGAAAGAACACATTCCATCTATGTCCATTAGGCCTGTATTGAAAAGTATTCATCAAAGGGAAATCAGTTTTTATGCTATCAAACATGTGAATTCAAAAATTGTCTCTCTTTGTATGCAGTTTCTTTATACAGACTGAGTAAGTTTTATCTATTTTATCTTTCTGCCAGTATAAATATTTGTATAATGGAAAAATTTACCCAGGGAACTCTTCGTCCTGAACTTTATTGTAAATAGAGGAAGCAGCTTTACAGAGAATTGATGATTTCCCAGATCCAGCTTCTCCTAGTACCAGCATTGGGACATCCTTATCCTCAATTTGGATGTAATCCTCGATCTTTATAAAATCAATTTGTATCAGAAAAAACAGATAGGCATGTGCACTTAGCTATTATGAAAACAATTCAATGTAACTTTAAAAAAAAAGAAGAAAATTTTCCCCCCTATTTATCATATTCAGCATTAATAACGGCTATACAATTTTATTTGAATTAAGCAATTAGCACAAAAGTTTCACATACACATACACAAATACGGTGTATGTGCTTTCTATTTTTTTTCTTTTAATTCCTGCTATTCATTAAAGATACAATGTAATTCTTCCTTCAGATTTCATGTATAAAGAAAAAACAATTATCAGTTTACATACTAGTTTAGTTAGTTAAAATTTAATCTATAAATCCACTCTGATAAAAGTCCTTTAATAAATTAGCCATAAAAAGCAATCTGAAACACTGAAAGCTAAAGTCTTGATCTAAATTTAAGAGGATTCTTCTTCTAACTATATTTACTCATGTCTGAAGACTGAAATGTACTCAAATAGTTCAACTGTATTGCATATTAAATTAAAAAAAAAATATCTGATTGATTAGTGATAATCTTTGGAAACCTGCATTGTGTTCTAGCCTAAAACATCCTAGTATAGAATACAAAATATCAATGGTAAGAAATGTTTACTTTTTTGAGAATGTCTTCTCTTCCAATGACATCTTCACTTTTGGTTTTCATGTACTCTAAATGTTCCAGTTTGGTGGGAATATCATCAGATAAAGAAAGACGAGGCTGTTCACCGAAAAAATCAAAGGAGATCCTTTGTTTGCAGAAATCTATGATCTGAGAAATAAAGAAACATGAATAACAATTATCCTTTGCAATAACTTGGTATAGATCAAGTTCTTGGTATAATCATGAATTAGCCGCTATACACATGTCAGTGCCATATATTGTATCTATCAAATGTTTTCTAAGCAGATTCATAAATTAATGCATTGTTGTCTGCATCAAAACAGCTAAAAATAAGAAAATGAACAGAAAACGCAAATAATTGGAATTTTTTAAAGTTCAAGGGGCATAACTCTGTCCAAAATGGCCCGATCTTACCCAAAACAAAACATGTCCTAGATATTCTTATAATAAATCTGTATACCAAATTTCATTTCAATATGTGTAACCTCTGCAGAGAAAATGAACGTAAACGAATGATGGACCAACAGACAGACAGACCGACAGACAGCAGCAAGTCAATATGACTTCCCTTCTTCAAAGGGGGCATAACAAAGATTCAAAATTCCTGCAAGTTTGGTGTAACTAGTGCAAATAAATGTTGTATTGTAACGTTAATACTTGGTTTGAAATTTTCCACTGGGATGCCAATGCTGGGTGTACATGTAACAGAGGATGATATCAATCAGTTGATAAATTTCCCTGCCTTTGTTAAAGGCCAACTTACTGTTTTTTTAAAGGAAGAACTGAAGTTGAGTTGAGGTTTTCTAGCAGTATTTCTGGAGACATCACAATATGTAGCAGAGTATTTAACAATTCTCTTTGCCTGCAAAACAAATACAAGAGGCCCACGGGCCTTACAGGTCACCTGAGTATCATGCGACAACTTTCCAACAATTGAATTTGATTCATGTTTTAAACTAGAAGCCATGAAATTCACAATTTTGAAAGAGGCACCATTACTTATCATAATTATACACTCAGCATGCTAATTTTGGTTACTTAAAACCCAGAAGTAGATCAGAGTAACAAAGAGAAAGTGCATTTCCACTTTTAGTGAATTTCAGGGCCCCTGGGTCAGGGCTTCTTCTGTTAGGGGGGGGGGGGGGTCCACAGTTGAGCTCCTCATCCCACAGGAACCACTGACCCTGGGGCCACATCTTTTAAAATTTTGGAATTTTTGAAAAAAATATTATTTCATCATGCTGTTGATTAATACCAAAGTGCAGACTTCAAAGCATTAAATTATTTTAGACTATGTTACCCCCCCCCCCCCCCAAAGTACCTCTGTCCCAGGGGACAGGAAATCAACCATTTTTGGAAGAAGCAGGTTTTTTTCATAAATATATACTAAGATCATTGGCATTATACCCAATTACAAAGGAAAAGATCTTCAAAGAATTCAAGCATTTTCACTATATAAACATTAGAGCCCCCCACCCCCCTAACACAAGAATCTCTATTCAAGGGACCCTGAAATTCAAAAATCTCAAAGAGGCATCATTCCTCCTCATAACTATGTACATAGTTCATTGGTTAAATACTCAGGTGCAGAGAAGAAGAGTTTTAAAGAATTTATACATTTTCACTATATATTCAATAAAGCCCCACCCTAACACCAGAACCCCCAACCCAGGGGCCATGAAATTCCCAATTTTGGAAAAGGTAGCCTTATTCAACATAACTATCTACTTGGTTAGTTTATTTAATACTCAGGAATAAAGAAGAAGATTTTCAAAGAAATAATTCATTTTTTACTATATAATCTATATAGCCCTGCCCTAGCACTAGAACCCCTGACCCTGGGGCCATGAAATTCACAATTTTGGAAGAGGCAGCCTTATTTAACACAGCCATGCACTTGGTTAGTTTATTTAATGCCCATGAACAGAGAAGAAGAATTTCAAAGAATTTTTGCATTTTCACTATATAATCTATATAGCCCCACCCTGCCACTAGAACCCCTGACCCTGGGGCCATTAAATTCACAATTTGAGATGAGGCAGTCTTATTCAACATAACTATGCACTTGGTTAGTTTAATTTAAATGCCCACAAACAGAAAAGAAGAATTTCAAAGAATTTATGCATTTTCACTATATAATCTATATAGCCCCGCCCTAGCACTAGAACCCCTGACCCTGGGGCCATGAAATTCACAATTTTGGAAAAGGTGGTCATTTTCATCTTACCTATGCACTTAGTTAGTTTATTTAATGCCCACAAACAGAAAGGAAGAATTTCAAAGAAATAATGCATTTTCACTATATAACCTATTTAGCCCCACCCTAGCACTAGAACCCCTGACCCTGGGGTCATGAATTTCACAATTTTGGTAGAGGACTCAATGCTGATTACAATCATACCAACAGTTTAACTGCTTGATGTCCAGGAGTAAAGAAGAAGATTTTTAAAGATTGCACTAATTTTAGTGGTTTTTGCCCCACCCCCCATGCCCCAGGGGGGCAGGGACCATGAAATTCACAATTTTTGTTCCCCTTCACCCATAGATGCTATATGCCAAATTTGGTTGAAATTGGTTCAGTGGTTTCAGAGAAGAAGCTAAAAATGTTCAAATGTTAACGCACGACGCACAACGAACGACGCACGACGAACGACGACGGACGAAAACAGATAGCAATAGGTCACCTGAGTTTACTCAGGTGACCTAATAACATGTAAACAGTAAAACATTTAACCCATTCAATTAGGATATATACATGTATAATTATGCAAAATGTACATGAAAAACAATCACAATCAGTGACAATTAAAATGTACAAGAGGCCCACGGGCCTTATAGGTCACCTGAGCATCATGCAACAACTTTCAAATGATTGAATTTGGTTTATGTTTTAAGCTAGACGCTATGGCATTCACAATTTTGAAAGAGGCACCATTGCTTATCATAACTTTACACTTAGCAATTGTTTAGTTTAATTACTTAATACCCATAAGCAGGGTAGGGGAACAAAAATGTATGTCAACTAATCAGTAATATTCAGCGTAATATTCAGCAATAATCAGGAGTGCTCCTACCACACATGAACTCCTGACCCTAGGTCTACACATTGCACAATTTTTGAAAAGGCACACTTGCTTATCAAAATTACTTGATTATTACCAAGGAGTAGATTTCAAACAATTCATTTTCAGTATATAAGTAGAGCCCCCCCCCCCCCCCATTTTGGTATCCCTGACCCAGGGGCCTTGAAATTCGCAATTCTGGAAGAGGAACACATCATAACTAAATAAATAGTTCATCTGCTTATTACCCAGAATTAGAGAAAAAGATTTTCATAGATGTAATAGACGTAATGTATTTTCACTATATAATCATTAAAGAGCCCCGCCCTAACACCATAACCCCTGATCCTGGGGCCATGAAATTCAAAATTTTGGTAGAGGCACTCTTGCTCATCATAACTATGAACTTAATAAGTTTATTTAATACCTAGGAGCAGAGAAGAAGATTTTCAAAGATTTAATGTATTTTCACTATATAATCAATAGAGTCACGCCCTAACACCAGAACCCCTGACCCTGGGGCCATAGAATTCACAATTTTGGTAGAGGCACTCTTGCTAATCATAATTATGAACTTAATAAGTTTATTTAATACCTAGGAGCAGAGAAGAAGATTTTCAAAGATTTAATGTATTTTCACTATATAATCAATAGAGTCACGCCCTAACACCAGAACCCCTGACCCTGGGGCCATAGAATTCACAATTTTGGTAGAGGCACTCTTGCTCATCATAATTATTAACTTAATAAGTTTATTTAATACCTAGGAGCAGAGAAGAAGATTTTCAAAGATTTAATGTATTTTCACTATATAATCAATAGAGTCACGCCCTAACACCAGAACCCCTGACCCTGGGGCCATGAATTTCACAATTTTGGTAGAGGCACTCTTGCTCATCATAACTATGTACTTAGTTAGTTTATTTAATACCTAGGAGCAGAGAAGAAGATTTTCAAAGATTTAATGCATTTTCACTATATTATCAATAGAGCCACGCCCTAACACTAGAACCCCTGACCCTGGGGCTATAAAATTCACAATTTTGGTAGAGGCACTCCTGCTCATCATAACTATATACTTAGTTTATTTAATTCCAAGGAGCAGACAAGAAGATTTTCAAAGATTTAATGCATTTTCACTATATAATCAATAGAGCCCCGCCCTAACACCAGAACCCCTGACCCTGGGGCCATGAAATTCACAATTTATGTAGAGACACTCTTGCTCATCATAACTATGTACTTAGTTAGTTTATTTAATACTCAGGAACAGAGAAGAAGATTTTCAAAGATTAATGCATTTTCACAATATAATCAATAGAGCCCCACCCTAACACCAGAACCCCTGACCCTCGGGCCATGAATTTCACAATTTTGGTAGAGGACTTAATGCTGATTACAATCATACCAACAGTTTGACTGTTTGATGTCCAGGAGTAAAGAAGAAGATTTTTAAAGATTGCACTAATTTTAGTGGTTTTTGCCCCACCCCCCAGGCCATAGGGGGGCAGGGACCACGAAATTCACAATTTTTGTTCCCCTTCATGCACAGACGCTATATGCCAAAATTGGTTGAAATTGGTTCAGCTGTTTCAGAGAAGAAGCTGAAAATGTTTAAATGTTAACGCATGACGAACGACAGACGACGGACGACGACGGACAAAAACAGATAGCAATAGGTGACCTAAAAATGTTAAACTGCAGTTTTTTATCTTCTTAAGTCTGTTATAAATTAAAATGATTTAGAAAAATACATCACAATGAACAATTCAAAAGTATACGCTATTTGAAATTTTACATACTGGTATTTTTTCCGAGATCTTGTCTCCAAATAATTTGAGCTTCTCTGATGCCGTACTTTTCTTCAGGAAGTAACTGGCATCAGGTTCTGGAATCTGGCAAAGGAATGTGTCATCTCTGATCAAAAATAGAGCTGAAAGAAAAATATTATTTTCATAATATAGGATTATCCAGTAATTAAAATCTGATATATATTTCTTTTACATGTAAATTTGATTCATTAAAAATCAGTTTATTAAACAGCATGAAATATTGATGATGAATCTTCTTTGTAAAATTTAATAGCCATAAGATATTCCTTAGCAATTTTTGAAATTTGCATATCTTTTGGGATAGAATTTATACTCAAAGATGCCCCCCACCCCCGCTCAACACAATCAAACTTGGAACCAGGTGTTAAACTTCAAGATATCTGAGTATTTTCAAAAAATTAAGGTAAAACCAAAAAAAAAGAAAAGAGTGGCTAGGATTTCCAGCATGCTTTGTTATAACTTCCTGGCATAGTGTATTCTAGTTATTAGAGTTTTGGGGGTTTTAAGTAACAAAGTCAAAAATGTTTAACCTAAATCATATAATTTATGGCTTTTATGCATATGCATGTACATGTTTCATATATTCATCAAATATCATTTGAAGACACCTAAAATAATGTCTTTAAAAATTATCATAGAAATATACTCACAAATATCTAAACAGAGGATAGAAAGCAAAGTGTACTTCAAAATTAAGCCTCATGTAGTAGTAAAATAACTATAGAAGTATAGAGGCCAACATTATATATGTACTATCATTGAAACAATTTCTGGATATCTTACAGTTCATGTTGTCCTGTCTGTATGCTGCCTTCATTACTTCTAGATCCTCCACTAACAATCCATAGGTCTCTAAAAAATCCTCCACGTCTTCATCTGGATACTCCTCCCACATAGGAATCCAACCAACCGACTCACTGAATCAATTAGGTCAAAGGTTAATTTACAGATAAATACATACATGTATTACATTTATGTATCACAGTATGTTTTTTGTCTTTTCTTATACAAATACATTTTATCTGGTCATGAACAGAAAACAAAGACTATATGTATAAGTAAAGTTCTAATTTGCATCTAATTATCTCAAGCTTTTCCAGCTATGATTTTGATATCCAGGTACAGGATGTGATACATGTACTTTTATTTGTAATAAAACAAGTGTTACCAAGTAATGTTAATAAAGATAGGCATTATGCTGCTATGGTAACAGTTCTCAATGCTGGTCTGAGTTTTTTCCAGTTCATCCACATGTCGACTCTGTGGTGTTTTGGATCCCTTAAAGAAATAAATATTCTCTGAAGACAGAATTATATTCATATATGTAAATAAGTTTGAATTATCCTTTTTTCCATAATAAGAATCAATATTATACATGATTATATAATATACATGCTAGAAATGCATTACATGTAACATTGTAAATGTATATTAACACACTTACCCATTTAACGAATCTTTCCTTTAATGTCAATTCTTTACTTTCACACCATGACTTTAACTCTGGCAAGACCTTGTAACAAATCCATGCAATTATAATCAATATGACTGTATTGTATTTTGCTATATGATAAATGGTTCCCCCAGAACAAATGATATACAGTAAAACTAGTTTAGTATGAACACTGATATTCCAATTCACAGATAAAGCGAAGTTTTCGTGGATCCCCAAATGTATAAATTTTATTAATCACTTAAACAAATATAACAAATTACGGATATTAAAGCAAAATAATTTCATATCCCATTGAATTCATTATAACTGAGTTTTACTGTATTAAGTGTGTTTGCCAAATAGAGATTTGATATCTCCAGCCCTGTACAACATATTTACTGAGACATATAATATTTTAAAGTTTTATTTACCACTGTCATATCTTTCTGCTGACCATTTGATTTTGGCTATGGATTATTCATTTTATTTATAAAATGCATCAGAGAAAATAAAATGGCATACCTCCTGGCTCAAGTATTCTCTCTCCGAGTCAAATTCATCTGTATAGCTTGTAATGTATAGCTTGACGGATCTCTTTGATTTCCTTATATTTTTTCTGGGCTGAGGCGGCCCCCATGTAGCCATATCTCATTTTTAAATGGTATTTTAACCTCTGTAAGGAAAGATTGTGGAGAATTTTCATATTCACCCAATCAACATTTAAAGTATAACTTAAGTTAAAACTGAAAACTCAGCACTTAAATTATTGCAATTACAATGATTATAATTCTACATGATGATAACAAAGTAACAATCACAACAAAATATCTAGAATAACAAAAGACTGAAAAAGATATTTCGGGATCTTGATAGAAAAATTACAACCTTTTGTAAGGATCAAAAGGAAGAAATAGACCATGCTTCATAATGCATCCTGGGAATGCAACGAGGCATCAGCAGGAAAGACGGAGAGGAAATCTTACTGAAACATGGAAACGATTCAAACAAAGAGAGAGGTTAGATATGTTGGCCGTCCAATATTGGTCACATGATGGGCAACAGTGGAAGACACTTGAAATGGCCTTAATATGAGGAAACCAGTACACAGAGGAGTACTGTCATAAGTAGAAAATTGTAATAAATAAATGGCTCAGCTTGTCTATCAATATTTAACATGACACATAGCTCTCATTACAAACTGATTTTGTTTGATGTATTCAAAAGCTTCTTTCAAGAGGTATTACTTTAAATATCAAGTTCATTTTTTCCAAGCACAGTCTACTACTGGAACACTCTACCAGAATCAACATCATGTCCATGATGTTGATTCTGGTAGACATGTTGGAGCAGTTTAAAACATCTATTTTGACCCTCCAACCATAGAATATGTACACTATATATCAAAACATACTTACAGTGACCTGTACAGTGTATATACATGTTATTAGCAGTAACCTTTTTTACATTGGGATATTCCCATGCATGCATGAACATCATTGAACATAGTCCTTGCTGATAAATTTGCACACTGGATTTTCGCTAGTAACCAAGTTGAAGTAATTTTCGATTAACATGTATTTACAGTTGAACTTCAGTACGTATCTCAAACACTGATACCTCAGGTACCATGGTTACATTTAAGAGATTTGGAATTCCCAACCACTTATTCTTTAGTATTTTACCCTTGTCTTGAAATCTCAAAATCTATGGATTTCTCAGTTTTTTTTCTAAGTCTCACAGAGTTTGAGATAACTATGTTTGATTGTATTTGCATGTCATTGAAGTTGCCCTTAGTTTACCTGTAAATGTATACAAAGTATGAGACCCAATGCATGCTGATCAATAGACTGCAATGTCCTTATACAGCCAAGCATATACCAGTATGTCGAATACTAGATAATTTTGAGAATCGTACATATCTTATCAAAACAAGGGGAATTAACAATATTTTAACATAATAAATATCAAACTTTCAGGAATACATAGAAATTTTTCACATATCACGGATATAGTCTACCACTCTATGAATCCTGCTGTCAGTCGAAGTAGCTACAATTCAGGTTTCACTCGCGCTGCTTGACCTTTCAGTATCGACATGGAATATTCTATTGCATTACATTTAAAATATTCATTGAAAATAATGTAAAGTGAAACATACATAAAAATCAGACAGTTAATAATCATTACTTTCTTGTTTACCTTTTTCTTCTTCTGCTACTTTGTGTATCTTCAATTACAGAAGAGTTCCGATATGCATCAGGTCAATCAGCAAAGATCGGTTTATGACGGAATCGCCTGAGAGACGTTTTATTTTTGCAATTATGAAATATGAATATAATGATTAAAAGTTTAACGAGATATAATTATGTATCCACATGTTCTTTTCTCTTTAAAATTATTTTAACCCTATAGGCGTCGGAAGCAAATTGAAAGGGGGGTGCTAATATTGAAAGAAAGGGGACTAAAGCTGAAAAAAGATAAACCCTAATTTTCACTGCATATATTATGTATATCTTTACAAAAAAAGTTGGGGGGGGGGGCTAAAACACGACTAATCCCTAGCTGTTTGCATGGTATGACAACTTTTGATTATGTTTCTCAACAAATTAACCCCCAAGCTCAAAATCAATAAATAATATAAAAACTAAAGAAATGACTTGATTCAATGAATATATGAAATTCCTAGCATTAACTAACTATTCAAAAGTTACCAAGTTAATTATCATCATGGTCAAAGACAAATATAGAAAAACATAACGCTACAGATCTGCAGCTAGGCCTCATGCAGTATGCATGAGAATTGAAGCTTTGATTATCAGGATTATAAAAGTTTATGCATCAAATATTATTTAAGAGCGAGTGTTTATTATGGCGCCCTGTCGTACGTATATAGTTTTCGGTTTATATTCGGAAATTTCCTATTATGCCTTAATTCTTTATCGAATATTTGGGGGTATAAAATTTTTGTCCTGTTCTTGACCGACTGTCTCTTTAATAGCTGATTGTTCGCAAAAAAAATAATCTTGTCCATATCTTTTGATTAGTGGGAGCTATCATAATGATTTTCAGGCGCGGATCTAGAAATGTTTCAAAGGGGGGGGGGGGGGTGAAGAGGAAATATATAAACATACGGTTTACATATACATGTTGTTAAATAACTCCCACTATAGGATACAGGTTTAAAAGTGGTAGGTTGATCAACCTGGTTAAAAATACTTGTATGCTTTACCAGAAAGTTTTAGAAAAAGAAAGGAAAATATATTCTATGGTAAAAATAAAACAAAAATGGGACTTTCTTAATTCTCTTTCTCTCTCTCTCTCTCTCTCTTGCAAATCCAACGCGGGGAACGTTTGATTTTTAATTTGTAAAAGAGATTATATTAAAAATATTTCCATAATAATTTTATGCCCCCTTAATCGAAGATTCGGGGGTACATAGTTTTTGTCGTGTCCGCCCGTCTGTCTAGCTGTCTGTCTGTTTGTCCGCAAAAACTCTAACCTTGTCCTTAACTATTGATTTAGTGGAGCTATGAGCCTATAACTTTCATATTTCACATATGTATTCCTTGTAACAAGACCTTTCTTTGGGTACCACCTAATTTGACCTTGGAGTTTGATCTACTTTTCCACAAAAATTCCAAACTTTTACTTTGCCCTTAACTTTTGAACGGTAGATACCAAGACTTTCATATTTCACATATGTATTCTTTGTAGCAAGACCTTTCATTTGATACCAACAATATTGATATTTTGACCTTGACCTTTGAGATTTTCGTACGTATGAAAAAACTTTAACCTTGGCCATAACTTTTGAATGAGAAGGGCCCGGGATTTCATACTTTACATATGTAATACTTGTGAGAAGACCTTTCATTGGATAGCAAGAACTTTGACCCTTTGACCTTGGAGTTTGTGCTACTTAAAAAAAATAAACCTTGACTATACTTTTAAAGGGCTAGGGCTAAAACTTTCACACTTCACATATTTAATCCTTGTGACAAGACCTTACATTGGATATAAAAAACTACCCTTTGACCTTGACCTTGGAGTTTGACCTAACTTTAAAAACTTTAACCTTGGCCATAACTTTTGAACAGTTAGGGCTGGAGCTTTCATATTTCACATATGTAATACTTGTGACAAGAACTTTCTTCAGAAACCAACAACTTTGACCCTTTGACATTGACCCTGGAGTTTGACCTACCTGTCAAAAACTTATCTTTGGTCGTAACTTTTAAACAGTTGGTACTAGGGCTTTCATATTTCACAATCGTATTTCTTGTGAGAAGACCCTACTTTAGGTATACTGATTTATTTAATTTGCATATATAAGAAAAGTTTAATCTTCACTATGTTGCTATGCGGGGGCCACAGGTACTTGTGGACAGGACCCCCCCCCCCCCCCCCGATATTCAACCCCGGGGCTTATTGGACATTTTTTTTTTTAAATTACATTTATTTCACTTATTCATCATGTGTACAATATGAAAAAAATCGTCAAAACCCCAAAACAATCGCTCCACGAAATAAATACCCCACTACTTATAATGTATAGTAGGGTATTTTTTTGTGGAGCGATTGTTTTTGGGTTTTGACGATTTTTTCATATTGTACACATGATGAATAAGTGAAATAAATGTAATGTTAAAAAAAAAATGTCCAATAAGCCCCGGGGTTGAATATCGGGGGGGGGGGGGGTCCTGTCCACAAGTACCTGTGGCGGGGGCATCAGTGTTTCACAAACACATCGTGTTCACATTAATACGCACTCATGCACTCTTTCTGTCAGTTATTAGTATTGGATGGATACATCTTTAGTACAAGATGTGTTTGTGAAACACAATGCGCCCGGCGGCAACAAAAATCTAAAAAGCTATTTTAAGCATACTGTATTGCATAGGTCACAGTCAAGGTCACCAAGTCATTGACCTTGAAGTCATTGGAAAGAACTTGATTAGTGGAGTATGCACACAAAATATGAAGTCTCTATCTTTTATGAATCAAAAGTTATGGTGAAAGTTACAAAAAAGCTATTTTTAGCATATAGGTCACAGTCAAGGTCACCAGGTCATTGACCTTGGTGTCATTTGAAAGAACTTTATTTGTGTAGTATGCGTACTAAATATGAAGTCTCTATCTTTTATGGTTCAAAAGTTATGGCAAAGGTTAAAGTTTGCAGACAGAAAAGCTATTTTTAGCATATACTGGCATATAGGTCACATTCAAGGTCACAAGGTCATTAATATTAGTGTCAATTGAAAGCTACTAATTAGTGAAGTATGCATACCAAATATGAAGTTTCTACCTTTCACGGTTCAAAAGTTCTGTCAAAGGTTAAAGTTTGGGGACAAACAAACAAACAAACAAACAAACAGACAGACAGACAGACAGACAGACAGGACAAAAACAATATACGCCTCGGATCTATCGATCCGGGCGCATAAAAAAATATTTAAGCATTGAATTCATATTTTGGGATGTGATAAAGGAGTTGGGTGAACATAACGAGAGATAAGCCCACTGCGCAACAAACAAGAAGGTGAAAAATTAAATCTAAATTTTCCTTCATTTTTCATCTAACATTAAAGTATATTTTATGTAAAATCACTACAACTTGCACAAATCTCAGGAAGATTGAAGTTATTTGCCTATGAAATATTATACACACACGAAAGAGGACAAAACGAGTCTTTTTTCACACTATAACACTATTTTGCGACATGCGTGGGTCATCTCTCCATTTTTATGCCCCCGGATCGAAAGATCGGAGGTATATTGTTTTTGTCCTGTCTGTCTGTCTGTTTGTTTGTTTGTTCCCCAACTTTAACCTAGCCCATAACTATTGAGTGGTTGGGGCTATGGCTTTCATAATTCATAGGTGTGTTACTTGTGACATGACCTTTCTTTAGGTACCACCAAATTTGACCTCTTGACCTTGACCTTGGAGTTTGACCTACTTTTATTCTATTTGTTATCAACTTTAACCTTCGCCATTACTTTTGAACAGATCGAGATAGAGACTTCATATTCAAATTAAAATGCATACTCCACTAAATAAGCACTTTCAACTGACACCAAGGACAATGACCTTTTGACCTTGACTGTGACCTATATGCTAAAAATAGATTTTTCGAACTTTCGGTATAACTTTTGAACCACAGGAGATAGAGACTTTATATTTGGTATGCCTACTTCACTAATTAAGTGCTTTCAAACGACACCGAGATCAATGACCTTGTGACCTTGACTGTAACTTTTATGCTAACAATAGCTTTTTCGGACTTTGTTGCCGCCGGGGGCACAGTGTTTCACAAACACATCTTGTTTTTGAAAGTTAATCCTCAAAGTTTGTATACAAACATACATATTTTGGTTTCCAAAAATATGAAGCATAGACTCATTATACCTTAAAAATATAATTTTATGACATAACTTTCGTATCTTTTCGAGAAATACTTGAAGTCCACTAAGTCAATGGTCATACCACAATTTCACAAACATGATTTAAGCTATCCGATCCATATTAGGACCAAATTTTCTAACCTTAAATATCAATTGTTTTTTAAATATCCTGATATTATTTAAAAGCATTTTAGAGTAGAAAGGGATTTACCAAGAGAAAATTTCAAAAATTTTATTACCTAGGCAGAAATAAATTATTGAAGATTGCATTGAAGTCTATGGGAGGAAGTAAGTTTTTTAAAATAAACAAGATGTGTTTGTGAAACACTGTGCCCCCGGCGGCAACAAAGTTCGAAAAAGCTATTCTTAGCATAAAGGTTACAGTCAAGGTCACAAGGTCATTGACCTCGGTGTCGTTTGAAAGCACTTAATTAGTGAAGTAGGCATACCAAATATAAAGTATCTATCTCCTATGGTTCAAAAGTTATACCGAAAGTTCGAAAAATCTATTTTTAGCATATAGGTCACAGTCAAGGTCAAAAGGTCATTGTCCTTGGTGTCAGTTGAAAGTGCTTATTTAGTGGAGTATGCATTTTAAATATGAAGTCTCTATCTCGATCTGTTCAAAAGTTATGGCGAAGGTTAAAGTTGATAACAAATAGAATAAAAGTAGGTCAAACTCCAAGGTCAAGGTCAAGAGGTCAAATTTGGTGGTACCCAAAGAAAGGTCATGTCACAAGTAACACACCTATGAATTATGAAAGCCATAGCCCCAACCACTCAATAGTTATGGGCTAGGTTAAAGTTGGGGGACAAACAAACAGACAGACAGACAGACAGGACAAATACAATATACCCCCGATCTTTCGATCCGGGGGCATAAAAAATTAATACTACAAACATAAAAAATGCTGTGGTGGAAAGATGTATTTGATCATTGGGAATAGAAAAACAATTAGAAATAATTTTTTTACCAGACAGTTTTTTTTAAAATTAATTTTTATTGAGTAAAATCAAAGGGAGATAACTCGTCAAGGGCAGGAAAAGGTCATAAATTAGGACATGTCCCACTCTTACATTCTGATACTAAAAGATGAAAATTTGTTCTAAGTACACTAAGTATTCAGCCCATACATATAATTTATATTATGCATTCAATTCCATTGAATCTGAGGCTAATATGGATCGGATACCTTAAATGCCACACCTCATCAGGACTTGTGTAGCGTAGTGGTTATCGTGCTAGTCTCAATAGAATAGAGAAAGCAATTCAGGATTTTATTTACCAGGGTTCGAAACCAATGGATACCACATAATAGTTGAAAGAATAATTTTAACGAAAATTTTTTCTCAAAACTTTTTGTTTATCATGATTTCATGAAAATCAATAATTAGAACTTTACTCTAAATACTGAATTCACAATTTGAATATTTTTTTTTATATATCTGAAGCTTGTGGGCTTTCTGCACGCTAAGTTCACCATCTCCTTCGTTCAAGTCTGCGCTCAATATCTCTCCTCATGCTTGTGAGAAGTGCCGTATCAGAAACCCTTGGCTTGCAAAGATGCTTGAAATGATGCCTTCTTAATAAATTACATCCAAAAATTAGAAATAAGGTGTGGCATGCAGTCAGAGAGATTGGATCATTAATGGCCAGATGGCTCAATATGAAGCTAAAATTATAGGCCCCTATTTGAATCTCAGTCTGGTACCTTTCCTGATCCATTTGGTACCATGTCCTGGGGTGACAGGTGTTCAAAGACCTGCAAATGAAGATCCTGCATTAGTGTCCTCCAGGGAGAGGATCTTAAAGGAAGGAGGCACGTGGCGGTGAGTCACGTTTGATTGCCGGTGACCAGATAGCTCAGTTGGTAGAGCACAAGGCTGAAGATATAGGAGGCCCTAATTCGAATCATGGTCTAATCCATCGCTTTTTCTCCTTTTCTGGCACGTGCATTATAACAGACAAGGGGAAAGTAGGCTACAATGGGACTCGAACCCGGGACCTGCTAATCGTGCAGGTGCTCTACAACTAAACTACCGGGCAGATATCACAAATTACAATTAAAAACATTAAGCCCTTGGATCACAGGCACTTGTTTCGTATACGAGGTACCCCTACTTAGTACTTATTCTTACTAAATGGGTAGGGGTGCTCCGTTTACGAAACAAGTGCCTGTGCCTTGGATGCTCTGTGAAACAAAATCTCATTTTTTCAAGCGCTATCAAGCAACTGAAGCATACTGCCTGTATATTTACAGTCCCAAGCTACAATCATGGACTAAATCAGAAAAACTGAATAACAATAATATATTTTTCAAACAGGGTTTTTAATTTGATTTTGATGTTTAAGGTACATTTGCAGTAAATGTAATGTACTGCAGTATAGCAAGTTTTATTCCTTCTTTACAAACAAATTACTTCCAGAACTCCTAACACTCAACATAGTCATACAGGGATCTAGTATGCCATATGACTGAATTAAATATTTTTTTAAATATAACAATGAAATATTTGAACATGTATATATACTTTTCAAGTTTATCCCAAAGTTCAAAACCTAAGCTTCAGAGAGCCATAATAATTAAAGTAGCAATATTTCAATATCAATATTTAAAGCCATAAAAGTTATAGTACCCGTGTCTCAATATCAGTGTATGTAGAGCCCATTTAAAAATTACTTTTTAAGACCTTACAGATAAAAAAAATCTTTCCCAATAATCATGCAGCTCATTTTTATATAAGTTTATATTACAATTTACATGTAACTCTGTGTGTTATTAGTAAATACTTTCATTTAACAAAAGTAATTCAGTATACATGTACACATTTTTTAGTACACACATATTCAAGTGACAGGAATTAATATATTTTCATATCTTAGATCATACATGTATCTTTATCGTACACTCCAGTACCATAACATTTAATTCCAAGCATGCTCTTTTAAAAAACTATTGTAGTTATTTAAAATTCAACTATCACATTACTGCATTGAGACATGACCCAGCAAAAGAGACAATACACTTAGCGATAAAAAACGGATGTCAGGGTGACATTTGCTCTGCCATAACAATCTGCAGCTAAAAATATTTATAACTTATAAATTAATCTGGACGAAGATTATAGCATATTTTTTTATTTTAGCTGAATATTTAAATAAATAGAAATGGTCTTTACATTGACTTAGAATTAAAAAATATAGTTTTATTAAACATACATGTATAAGTGAAATTTTTATGTACGTAACTCGAGTTTTAGTGCTTTTTACATGGAAAGAATTAAATAAGATCAATTTCTGAAAGTCATTACATATTTTAAATGATTCATCAATAGTATACAATAGTATACAATGTACATGTATATAATTAAAAAAAAAAACTTTACTTCTATTTATAGCTATATCCATGTGGTTATCTAAATACTCGCTTGTTTCTATAAGATCATGCCAATCCAAACCTTGGTATACAAAAAAATATCTTGTCCATTATAAACAACCCTTGGTCTCTTTTGTTTAATTTAATTTTATAAAACTGGCAGATTTGATTTTTTTTAAAAACTAAACAAGAATGCTGTCTCAAGACAAAAGTATATTTCAGACAGACTGCATCAAACAGATCTGGAAAACAAATCCTTCCACTTCAGATGTAGCAGAAAAAATCCTTGTCAATCTCCTATGAAACATTCCTCATGACAGCAGAGAAATGAAGAAAGCTGCAGGAAAGATTTTTACAGAATCAGTGGTTATACAGTAACTTATTCTAAATTAAAAAGCTACTTGTAAACAAAGTAAAACCTTTGTTATACTGTAGATCACTTAATTTTCATGACACCTTATTTTCGTGATAAAGTCATTGACTCTTGATTAGCAAGACAAAATTTTCACGAATTGTGGTCATTGCTTTATCTAATCTTAAGAAATGCTATTACAGGTAACTCTCGATACCTCGAAGTCCGCGGGACCGAGAGAAAACTTGGATAGATCAAGAGTTCGAGATTTCAAGAGTCCGAAAATTTCCGGGTTTGTTGACCGGTTTTGAAATTAGTCTTACCGGATGTAATAATTTTCATGCAGTGCTAACCTTTTACACGTGGTGTTTATAAAACAACGGCATGTTTTCGTATTGAAGATAAATATTTATTAAATTGAGTAAATAAAAAATGTACTTCGTTACTTCATGTTTATTAATTTATTCTTTTTATACGGACGTCAAACTACGCATCCGTTAAATAAAAACGACATTTTACCGCGTCGTACATAGCGATGACTACTTCAAACATGATCATTAAACGTTGAACGAAGTTCTGTAAGTATTTGTGCAACAATAGTCGACGTATTGACATTAAGGCTGTGTCTGCAATTTCATATTTCGTTAAACTTTGACACTGACTCGAAATAAAAATTAACTATTTTTCATTGACAGCGCTTCTCTGAATTATCGTAAGACAGTTGATGATAATTATATTAATAGCATATAGGCAACATATGATTAATTATAAATCAATTATCACCTAGCAGTATAAGAGTCACCTGAACAAACATCCCGTTTCTCGAGACACGCGTCTTCTGCCTGGGGCCATTTAATTGTCCAGGTAAAGTCGCTAATTATGTAATATTGAATACACATAGCCACTTCGAGGTTTCAAGGGTAAATTCCAATAGAATATGCATAGTGGGACTGCATTTTGACTTCGAGGGATCAAGGGTTTCGAGAGATCAAGAGTTCGAGAAATCAAGAGTAAATTTGCTTTGTTATATAGGGAAAAAAATCGTGACCAGAGACTCACTTCGAGCGATCAAGAACTTCGAGAGATCGAAGTTCGAGCCATCAAGAGTTACCTGTATATGTGAGAATCAGATTTACGCGAGCACACTGTCTCGCGTAATTACGCAAAAATAAAGTTCTCGCGAATAATAAGTGATTTACAGTAATTCGAATATGCATTTTTAACATATTTTTTTGAGAAGTGAAAATTCCTCTGAAACTGTATATGTCTGAAAATGGATACATTTATCATGTCATTTGACATTCACTGTTACATCTTACATGTATGTTCTGATAATTATATTTTCACGCATAGTATTATTGACTATCTATGGACTAAAACCTTCGGTTAGTTGACGATGCAACCAGAGTTCATTGACATCCCTATAACAATGCAGTTAAAAACAGGCAAATCATATCACAGTCACTCGTATGGTCAACTTCTATTCACAAATCACAAATGAACACATTCATTCCATCATTTTTCTTCCAATATCAATGTCTCTTGTGGATACAACTTTAGCTCTTCTAAAGTCTTCATTTCATCTAACTGTGAAATCTGTAATCATTAAAATCAATATATTAAACAATTTCTTCTTGGTCTAATAACATGGTACATACATGTATACTTATATTTTAGGAATCTGACTAGCCTGAATGGAAAGAATGTTTCTTTTCAAGCAATTCAACAGTTGTGAAATTGAACAAAATAAAATTTTATAACTGAATAATCTTGAAGCAATATGTTAAAATTAATTTCTTGGAAAATTATGACATCATTTCAACTTACATCTCTTCTTGGAAAAGTTGTAAGAATCTTGTAATCCTCTATATGAAAACCCTCTGAAGTCAGATAAAACAGGACATTTCTCAGTGGTTCGGAAGCCCTAAATCGGCGAAGTTTCACATCACCGGTAGGTGTTCTAAACCTTAATCGAGCTACTGCTTCTGTAGAACTTTCTGGGGGTTCCTCTGGCATTTGCAAGGCTGCTGATTGTTGTATTGCCTACAATTTATAGATTACAATGTAGTTCCTGAACACATTACAGTTTGAAATAAAGTGTCATGAACTCATGAGCATGTAATATAATATCAAATTGTGATGTCTTAATTGTCTTTAAGTGAAAAAAAAATTAAAATCAATATTAAAATTTTAGTAATTTAAGTCCTACTTTAAAATTCAAAAGACCTAAGCTCAATTAACCATTTGAAGAATTCTTGAAAAGAGTGGACCATAAAGCTGGTCTTATTAAAAGTAGTACACATGCTAAACAGAACAGTATACACTTGCTTTGAGAATATTAAGTTTTGGAGGTTGAGGTTGATGTTCAATGTATTCTATTGTGTCACATTCTCACTGAAACACCTACTCTGCTCTAGGAGCCATGATTAGAATAAACTTTGTTGCACAAAGTGTGATGCTACCTGTATATAAATTTAACAACTAGAAGCCTAGTACATTTTGTGAGGAAGAATAAGATTTTCTAATGTACATGTATTCCTTTGAGGGAAAACAATGTTTTATAATACAAACTCCCCAAAATCAAAATGGTGATAGTCAGGATTAAAAATAAATCACTAAGAAATGGACCGTTTAGAAGTTTTACCATTTTTCTCTCCTCTTCCTCTCTCCTCTGTCTCTCCTCCTCTTCCTGTTTCTTAATCTCCAGCTCCTGCTGAATCCTTTGTTCTTCAACCTACAAAAATAATATTAGATAACAAAATACAAGCAGTGAGAATTAAGTCATTTCACAAAGGTCTTAACTGCAGAACTGTAGCTCTCTGGTTGACACAATTGTAAAAACCTTCCATTTATGGCACAGTTTTTTGTCAATTTTGTATGGGGGGATTTAAAAGCCTTACCCATCAAGCAATCCTGTTATTTTATCTGACATTTACTTTTAATGGTTCTAAATAGTTCTATATGGCTATAGTTTTGCAACTTATAAAGGTCTCATAATATTGAAAAAAAAATGAAGCTGATTCTCTATCAAGCACAGAAACAGATAGATATGGGAATAGGAACTTGTTTACATTCCCTGCCCTAGTTCCGAACTGTAACCCTGCCTCACCTTCTTTCTGTCAGCTGCTAGTGACTCTTTAAATGCTTCCTCCTGCTCTCTCCTTATTGTGTCCCGAGCCTCTCTCTCTTCCTAGAAATCAATACATAAAATTTTATAAACATCTTAGCAAATAACTTTATATATTTATACACCATTGCCACTCTATTTTGCCAAGGAATTTTATCCACAACTGAATTAGTTACAAAAAGGTTTGAAAAAGTTTTAAGAGCTATGTAATTTGTTATTACATTTAATTACATGTAATTAAATGATTCCTGACCTCATCTTGGATATCTATTCTTTGCTGTTGTTGGAAGCTTTCTGAATCATGAATTAATCTGGTCATAAGTTCATCCAATGTTACAGACCCTACAAAGAAAATAATCAGGAAAACTTTAAACTTTTGGTTGAAATCCTTGATTTGTAATATAACACAATGTAATGTCCTGTGCATTGTTGCAATAGCATTTGATCCACATGCTTCAAGTGTGAACATGACGACTTTGATATTTGAACATAATGTGCTTACAAAATATACATTTGTTTTCAAATAAATTAACATGTGGTGCAAACTAGTGCCCAATTTTATTACTTTAATGTCTTAAGTATTTCTATAATATTTAAAATAAGTTCAATTTAAAAGTTTCATGAGATTTTGTATGTTTTCATCCCTTGACAAATTCTTTTTGTCATGGCATAGTCCCTTTAATAGAATATTTTTCTTTAATATTTTTAACTTTTGGTTTCATCATAAAATTGGCAATGGTCTTTCAAAGAAAAACATCCAAAAGAAAGGAGTGTCTCTTATGCACAAAAAACGCTATACAGTGTACCTTCAGATATCCGGATGCCAGATATCCGGATGCTTCAGTATCCAGACGATTTTTCATAGAAACAGAATTTTTTAATGTTATTTTTTCTTATTTAACTGGGGATTCAGGTATCCGGACGCTTCACATATCCGGACAAATTGACTGGGAACCAAAGCTTCCAGATAAATGAGGCTCCACTGTACATATTTAAGTGTACACTAAACATTGTCTAGATGCCAGATATCCGGATGCTTCAGTATCCAGACGATTTTTTATAGGAACAGAATTTTTTAATGTTATTTTTTCTTATTTAACTGGGGATTCAGGTATCTGGACGTTTCACATATCTGGACAAATTGACTGGGAACCAAAGCGTCCGGATAAATGAGGCTCCACTGTACATATTTAAGTGTACACTAAACATTGTCTAAAGCAATCAATCACAAACCTGGAATCATATCTATTACTTCATTTGTAGCTCTCGCTCTAGAAATGACTAATAACATAGGCAATTGTTCTGGTTTAAGACATCTGATCTGTCCGGCTACTACATTACCAAAATGTCTGGTAGCCATTGTGATAAGCCTATAAACAAAACATGAAATGCTTTACATTCTAATACTTACAGAAACATGTAATTATACACTTGTGCAACTTAACCAAATTAGTTAAAAGAAATTTATTTTTATAAACAAGAAAAAACTCAGAACTTTTGTTATATGCAAGTATATTAAATGTGTTACCTGGCACAGTTTGTCTCATGCGTCATATCCCATGCCCAGGTTATAAAATTACTGCTAAGGTAATTAACCACACTGTCAGAACACAGGATTTGGGAACAGAACACATTGGATAAAATACTCCCATCATGATGGAGATATACAGCCAACAATTTTCTCTGTTGAAAAAAAATTATTAAGATGTTGATCAGTAATGGTCAAACACTTTACATGTACATTCATGTATTTATTCAAATGGACTCAAGTTTTTTGATACACTCTAAGGCTCTAATGCATGTAGCTTTGCAAATTCATTCTCTCGGAGAAACAAAAATATTATGTGATTTACTGGATAACTCAAGCAATGTGAGAAAAACAGAAATTTACTTACATCTTTGGCTTTACCATTTAGAGCTTCTTTTATTGCATTTTCTAAAGAACCAACATAGAATACTGGATGTGTTTCTCCATACCTAAAACAAAACAATCAATGCCATCAGAATGTTTCAAGAAATAAGGCAATAATAATTCCTTTGAATGATTAAGCTTATACACATATTTTGTTTAAAATCCTCATTGTACTTTATTATGTACCTTTCTCTGAATTCTTTGGTAAAGTGTTCTAATGCTTCTACTTCATCATTTACAGACTCAGGCACTGAAATTAACAGTTTACTTATTATTTTTTATTGTTCCATTAAATGATTTAATAAAGAACAAGGGTGCATTTGATTGGCACTCAGCGAGAATCTGGGTGCACTTGAAAAGTGAAAATTTTCTTGATCCATCTTGATATCTATACATTTTATTGATATATTGGATTTCTGGGGAAATAGGAAAGGAAAATATTTTATTGAAAATAGTATTTTTATTCGTCTTGAAGATGGCTGCAGATGAATCATATAGAACAAAATGTAAACGTTCAAACATGGTTAAGTTTTCCAAAATATTAATTAGTCTGAGTCACCTTTCCATGATTTTGAATCAGGCAAAAATGGGGAGAAAACCAAATGACAATTAAAAAAGAACTTTTTGAAGTAAAAAAATCTAATTGTATAAATGCAGTGCTTCATCATTAATACATATTTTCGCTGTACTTGTACTTACTCAAAGGTGTAGGTCTTCCTCTGCTTGGAATATCATCCTGATCAAACATGTCATCTTCCATTGGATTTAGATCATCATCATCATCACTGATCTCTATTTCCTGTACCACCTCCTAAAAGTATAAACATACATCACATTGAACATAATATCCAATAATTTTGTTTGCTGGGTAAAAAAAAAAACTGAACCATAATTTTTTGTACAACAAACATGGTACAAACTTAACAAAACTATATACTCACATTAAATGGCACCTTGTTAGGTCTTGCTGTAATGTTTGCTTTTGTAAGCTCTAAATTATGGATGGGATAATTCAAACCACAACAGCCAATTGTCATCTGAAATTAGACCGCAGGAAAACATGGAAATAATACTAGGGTACATACATATCGAAAATATATAAATATAGGTATAAATGTTTTCTAACACTGAAATCTCATAACTGTAGATTTCTTAATATACACAAGGAATTAATTATAATATTGCATAATTTCATAAGAAGCACCTGTAACAAAATAAAATTACTCGCTTTAATTTTTATGTTGCTGAAATTGATGTAAAATCTCTTGATCAACCATCCACTTGCCAATAATTGTTCTCGCAATTTGACGTTGAAGAGCCATTTCACGATAATAAGTACTCGTGAAATACAAAAAGGAATCTACAGTTCATGTTTTCAATTATCAATACAAGTATTAATACAAGTCTTACTGAGTCATCATTTTTTGCAGAATCAGGCCACCCTGTCCATATCTGATGTCTTGCTGGCAAGTTTGTGAGGGCATACACATCACTTTTTACCTGTCAATTTTGTAAAGCAAAATTTTTAAAGATACCAGCCAGTCAAACAACATTTTTTTTCCAGAAAGACAAACGTGGTGAACAAAATACAGATTCACAAATTTTTTTCTAGTTTATTAAAAAAATATCTACCTCTCCAATAGTTTTACTTCCAGGCATATTTAACTTATAATGCTGCACTTTTCCATTTTCTGTGAAATTAATATGCAAAGCATATGTTCTATTTAGGGCTTCTGTTAAACTGCAATTAAATGAAATAATAATGAGATGTATCAGAATGCATAAAATAATTCCCTCAATATATTTTTATTGCTATATAATCTGATTATTTATTAGTACATGTACTTTATATCTGTCTTCACTCACCTTTCCATCTCTACATCCACTGTTGGTTTGACAAGTGTGGGATTGGAGACATCAGGAGTCAATAGAAATAATGTGTTCTCTTTAGGAAGATGCAGATCTCTCAGAATTTTCTGAAACAGTAATTAATTCTTAAAACTACCACTATACAGTGGGTCATTTAGTGAGTGTAAAATTTGGCATTTTGCAGGTTCAAAGGTGTACCAATATTTTTGTGGAACTTTTTTATGCGAATCAACACAGTGTCCTGTGAACTTTCAAATCAGCAACATTATAGAAAAGTGCTTCAGGTAACAAAGATTTGGAAATAAAACCTCATTTATATAAATCATTTCATCCTTTATATAAATCTTTGTCAAACTTTGAAACTCATCCAAGCAAGGTACAAGTTGGAATGCTCCAAAAATTTTAACCAAAAGTGACACTAATGATCAGATAAAAACACACATTCTCCTCCATCTCTTAGAGCTGATCTAACACTTTATCATACTCAGCTATCTTACATCATCCTCCACTCTTGTTTTCCTGGTACTCCAGCCTCTCAAGCTCTGTTTTTCTGGAGACACTCCAATTTTCTGAGACAGAAGATCTTTCACTTTCCCTGGAGTAAAATGATACATGTACTACAATACACATATACATTGATAACTTTGTCTATAAATAAAGATAAAGATAAAGATATAGATAAATGAATGATATACCGATTCCAACTGATATCATACTGTGTACAACTATTATAGAGAGTTTCGAAAAATACATGATCATTACCAATTTTTTCATTGTCCCCGACACTGAAATAAAAATTTCGATCTCTGTACTCCACTTTAAAATTTAACATCCTGGGTCTTGGGCCACCTCCTGGATGTCTTCGCTTTGGGGATGAATTACTTGTGGAGGGGATGGCTACATTGCATTCTGATGCAGAACTGGGGTCAAAAAAGGCCCTGGAGTCTGCAATGTTGTTATCATTGTCTGGTGAGGATGCAGAGTAAGGAGGGGGGCTTATGTCCTCAAACCCTGAAGGAGGGGGCTCCCCACCAGTTGGGGATAATCCTCCATCAGATCCTGGCATTACACTGTTTACTGCTCTCTGTTACAATAATAAATCATGAAAAACAAAAAAGTACTGTATTCAGGGAAATTTTCGCCCCTTTCGCCCTCTCCTTGATTGGGTGCATTTAAAATGGGGCAAATTCAAATTACACCTCATAATTTCTTAAACAGAACTATGACTAGGCGAATATAAAACGGGGCGAAATTGTTCAAAAGTTCAAAAGGGCGAAAATAACACAGAGCGAAAATAACCCTGTATACAGTAAAAGAAAAGTTAAAATATACCTTTTAATCCTGTTGTTTTTTACTCACATAAGGGATAATAAAATATCATCATCCTTTTGAAAACATTTCAACAATAATTAATAACTCCATGTAAATATATTTTCAACATACCATTAAATTCCATTCATTTGACTCCAAGATTTGGATGCAAGTATCAATGTCCTCCAAGGCTGTAAAAGCCTGAAATATCAATATTATTACAGTCTAGACATGGACATAAATGTGTATTATTATAAGGGAAACTTCAATATTTTTATTACATGTATTATCAAAATATTTTTTTTGAAAACGAAATTGCCTGTAATTTTTGTTGTTGTTTTAATTCTTGTTTGACTCTTATAACCTGTCAACACACATTAAGCATTCAACTGGGATGAATTCTTTAAATATTTTGAACATTATGTCTGTTAAAATGTACTCCAGCTTGTTCATGATAATCGTAATTGCACAACAAAAATACCCTGACCCAAATGATTACTCGCGATCCACATCCTGAATTGTTAATAACTTAACACATTAATAAATAGGTCCCTGCATGTGCTGATTGTTGTTAAGATGTTCTGATACAAATATTTGTTTTCAGTAATAACAGTCTACAGATCTGTTATGGGGTACATAGCTTAGTTAGATTTAGACAAATGCATGTCAAGGTTTTTTTTTAACCCTTCCATAATAAATTTCCTTAGCGCTTTTACGATATAAGAATAATGCAGTTAGTTGCGGCACGGAGTTAAACAAAAACACACAAAGTAATACAAATCGATGTACAATTATAACTCCTTCTGCATATGTACATTCTGAGGCAGTAAAGTCATGTGTAGTGAAACGTTCAACATTGAAGAAAAATGTACCATTAAATGATTATTGAGAATGAAATGTACACTACTGGTAGAAAGACTTGTGTTACATTGTTTCATTAAGACATGCTTTATGCGGTTCAACTGACAAACAGCCTCAATTTATACCTGAAATTCAGCAAGTATTCGATCTCGCTCGCCTTCTGCCATTGTTGCTTAATTTGGATTGCGCATGCCCAGTAATATTTACTTTTTACATCCGTTACAAAATGAAAATAAAGAAAAGAAAATTTGTATGATATAAAATGATATGGATCCTTTTAATTGCAGTGAAACGTTTACGAGAAGTTTAACACATTTACATGACCGAAAACAATATTAAACTGAAAATAGCCTCACAAAGATTACGTAAGCGCTAAAATTAACTTTTCAGTCAAGGGCTTGGGGTAAAAAGCTGAGTGGAGTGGAGTGTAGTGGAGTCGTGGAGTCATGGAGTGGAGTCTGTATTAGTTTGATTGCATACAATATCTCCCCTTCATTGTCGTTTTGGATTTGTGTACACTGTACCAAGAATGAAACAAGAAACAAAAGAAGTCCATGCAATCAAAATCTAACGACCTTTGAATGTCAAACAGAGAATCACCTAGAAATGCTTTACTACGTAATATATTATAAACACTATCTAAACTTAGCAAGACTTTTTGACCTTATTCGCCAATCCCAAACAGGCAAACCTAGCAAGAGGTGTTGACAGCTTTAATATGAAACAGAGAAAGAGCACTGCAGAACTGATGACAACTACATAATTACCCTTACCAAAATATTGACATTCTGGCAACATCTTCTGGCTTTTTTGCCGCAATATTGCAGCAACATTCTGGCAATACATTGCCGCAATATTGCGGCTATATCGTTTTTCGTATGTAAATTAGTTTTGCGGCAATATTGCCAGAAATGGGTTGCGGCAATATTGCTGCAAATCATGACCAAAATATTAATCTTCTGGCAACATCTTCCGGCATTATTGCCGCAATATTGCGGCTATATCGTTTTTCGTATGTTAATTAGTTTTGCGGCAATATTGCCAGAAAGGGGTTGCGGCAATATTGCTGCAAATCATGACCAAAATATTGATCTTCTGGCAACATCTTCCTGCATTATTGCCGCAATATTGCGGCAATATCATTTTTCGTATGTAAGTTTAGATATAAATTGGTATTTAATAGAAATAATGATCTATCAATCTTATAATTAACAAACTGTGCTGAGGAATATAACAAACAAAAGCAAGCCACAGGGTCAATAAGAAATAGCTACTTCTGCTATTCTTTGAACAGATAGAAAATTATGTTGATCATCATGAAATGAAAATCAAGATATGTTTGTGAAACACTATTCGCCTGGTGGCAATAAAGTTTGAAAAAGCTATTTATAGCTATTTATAGCATATGGGTCACAGTCAAGGTCACAAGGTCATTGATCTTGGTGTCATTTGAAAGAACTTAATTAGTGGAGTATGCATACTAAATATGAAGTCTCTATCTCTTATAGTTCAAAATTTATTGCAGAGGATCAAAATGGCTATTTTTAGCATATGGGTCACAGTAAAAGTCAAATTGTCATTGACCTTGGTGTTACTTGAAAGAGTTTAATTAGTGAAGGGTGCATACCAAATACGAATTCTCCATCTTTTATGACTCAAAAGTTATGTCGAAGTTTCAAAAAATCTATTTTAGGTACATTGTATATGGTCACAGTCAAGGTCCCTAGGTCATTGACCTTGGTGTTATTTGAAAGAGCTTAATTAATGAAGGGTGCATACTTAATACAAGTTCTCTATCTTTTATGGCTCAAGATTTATGTCAAAAAATCTATTTAAAGGATATGGGTCACAGCCAAGGTCTCAAGGTCATTGACCTTCAGGTGTCTTTTGAAAAAGCTTAATTAGTGAATTATGCATACTAAATATAAAGTCTCTATCTTTCATTAATTTTAAGTTATGATGAATATTTGAAAAAGCTATTTTTAGCATATAGGTCAGAGTCAAGGTCACAAGGTCATTGACCTTGATGTCAATTTGAAAGAACTTAATTAGTGGAGTAGACATACCAATTATGAAATCTCTATCTCTCATTGGTTCAAAAGTAATGGTGAAGGTTAAAGTTTACAAACAAACAGACAGGACAAAAACAATATGCACCCCCGATCTATCGAGACGGGCACATAAAAAATGTTTATAGAAAAAATATTAATATGTCACTGTGAAAATGTCCAGCAACTCTGCATTAATTTTCAAATAACATGCTTTAAATCATCTTTTCCTGCTACTCTAGGATATATAGAAATACAAGTCTAGTATGCATGCATCACAAGCACTAGTTGAAACACATATAATTTTTCCAATTTTATCTCCATTGAATCATTCATCTCAAAAAGAATATTGGTTTTGACTCACCAAGTCTGATGATATGGAAACAGAGTACACATTCCTATAATTCTGCTTAAATTCTTCTTTCTAGTCATTCCACACTATGCAGTCTTACTACTCATCTTGATTAATCCCACTGTACACAATTAACAACTCTAATCAACTTGATACAAGTCAGTAATGAAGCAAAACATGCTTGCCTTTGAATTCCCTCCACTTTATTTAAAAAGAGGAAGTAAATGACTGAGCATGCTCAACAAATGGCTCATGGGTAATCCTAGATGTTGCCAGAAAGTTTTTTTTCTGGCAGTATTGCCAGAATGTCACCGGAAGTTGTTGCAGTTAGCGGTGATATTTCATTTTTTCTGGCAGTATTGCCAAAATGTCACCAGAAGTTGTTGCCGCTAGCGGTGATATTTCACTAACCCAAAAAGCTTGTTTCTGGTGACAAAAATTTGTTGCCGCAATGTTGCCGCAATATAGCAGCAATATTGCTGCAATAATTTTACTTTGGTAAGGGTATAAAGGCACATATTTTTAAAAAAATAGGTTTAACTATTAAAGATATCCTCTTTGTTGGAATTTGAAGGTCACAATTTTTTTTTCTGTATCTCTATCTTTGTATATAAACATATATATCTAAATATTTACATGCATATATCCCTTTCAGGAGACATGCTTCAGAATATAAGTGTTAATAGACTCGACTGACAAATACATTATCATACAGCTGTGAAACATAAAATGGATAATATTTTTTGAAATGTTTACTGAGAAACTGGTGTTGCTATGTCTGATTTTTGAAACACATTTTAAACGATGATGCATTACTTATTTTTCAAATTTTTAACCTTTGTTTCTTGAAGAGGAACTTGTGATACTTCATTCTTATAATTAGTTTTGTCACCCGCGTGGCACAGTGATTGGAGTGTCTGCTCTGAGTCGCGCAGTAAGGAGCTGATCCTTACATTATGGGTTTGAATTCCACTGTGGGACTAAATAGAGACCGGTCTTTCAGATGAGAACGCAAACATCAATGTCCATTGTACTGTGTCGCAGTAGTTACTAGCACGAAAAATACCCTTCACTGCTCAATGATCAAGTATAGTGCGAGTATAGGACAAAAATTACAGCTCAATCTCCATCCGCAGGTGATGGGGTCTAAATATGAGTTTAAATTCTCGAGAGGGATGTAAAACAACATACAATTAGTCACAAAATTAGTTTCACCAATATTTGATCAAGCTTATTTTATAATGTGACCAGAACAAAAATTATACATATCATAAGTAATGGGGGAAAATAGTGCTTTCGTTGTATTTTGCTGGTCATTATATAACATGCAGTCAATGGAGAATTTAAAAGAAAGTTTATCCCAATAAAGATGTGCTGAATAGCCTGAATTGTATTTGGTTATTCAATTTTATTTTTAAAAAGATTACTAGTCAAGCAGGATGTTGTCAACTTTGTGTTGTTCTTAAAATTTTATGGTTTGCTACAATACACAAAATATTCAATGATTTGTCAAAAAATCATTACATTCAAATCAATTTTATTTTATTTTACTTGTATTATATAATGCGGTAGCTTTCAATCTCTATCTAAATTATTTTTTAAAAGTAAAACTATCTTATTTAATTGTTTGTTATTTCTCATTTTGTGTAAATATTTACAACTCTGCTTTTGGGCGTAGAGGTTAGCAGGTATTGGTAAATTGTAGGAAACACTACAGAACGTTTCTATATAGTAGATGTAGAGCTATGGAATTCAAAAAATTACTCAGCTAATCGAACACAATCCCTCCTTTCCTTTTCAACTCTATATGCCCAAGCTATAGCTCTCTGTGATCATTGAGAGACTGTTACAATAATAGTTCATATATATTGTAGATGAATGAGAAAATGGGGGGATATAACCTTCAAATGTCAACACATCAATGATTTAATGCATTTAAGTGATTTAATTACTGTGCTTGAAATGCTTACTCAGTTGTTGATTGTAAATAAAAATTAGCTTGAAAAAGAACTGAATTAAGTCTGTGGTATATTGCTTTTGTTAGCAAAAAAATCTAAATGATGCCACCTGTTAACTTACACAAACTAAAACAAACAAATGTGTTTCTATATCTGTCCCTCCAACTACAGTATATATAATAATTAATCAGTAAGATATAAATAATCTAAATGATGCCACCTGTTAACTTACACAAACTAAAACAAACAAATGTGTTACTATATCTGTCCCTCCAACTACAGTATATATAATAATTAATCAGTAAGATATAAATAACTTAGTTTACAACACATCTTTATGATCAGAAGTAACCAAATACATTTCATCACATCGCTATAGGGATAAACATTCTTTTAAAGTCCCAGTGAATTCTGTCAAAATGTTTTCATCAATAATAAATAATTGCCTCAATGATACATATACTGGTTGATAGACTGCATGTTATACATTGATCAGCAAAATAAAAGAAAGCACCTGTTTTAGGGTGGGGACATTACTTATCATATGTATTAATTTTGTTATGAGTCACATTTATAAAACAAGCTTGATCAAATATTGGTGAAACTAATTATAGGTATAAATCAAAACAGCTCCCTTTTCACAAAACAAGGGTAAAATAATTTTATTCAAAGTTAATTTGTGTGTCATCGTTTAAAATACACAATGTGTACTTTAAAATGAAAAAAAAAAAAAAAAAAAAAAACACACAAGTTGTTGAGCTCATTTCAATAAATATTTTACTTTTTAAGGTTTTCAATTCCGGTAATTATATTTATTTTAAGTCTAGTAATTAATCCTGGTCAATTATTAAACTTCAACAGATCCAATGACTGATATGTATTAATCAGTCGAGTCTTAACACTCTATTCTGTAGCATGTCCTCTACTTTAACCAGAAAAGGAAGATACGTGTTAAGAAGATACAGAAAAAAATTTGACCTTCAAATTCCAACAAAGGGGCTATCTTGCACTTTAAGAGTAAAATGAAAAAAATGTGCCTTTCTCATTAAATTGCTGTCATCAGTTCTGCAGTGCAGGGGCCCGTTTCACTAAAAGGCGTAAGATACGACCAAACTTAAGTTAGGCCTTAGGGCGTACGCCAAAATTTAGTCCGGCGTAAGTTGCGTTTCACTAAGAGGCGTACGCCTGGGCGTAAATACTATTATCGGACTAAGTTAAGGCCAGACTTACGTCCTTGACAACGAGCTTATGCACATGCGCATACATATCATTTATAAAGAGTGAGAGAGGGGAGAGAGAGAAGAGTGAGAGAGAAATTTGTTTGATATTCATTGAAAAGATATATGGAAAAGATCACATATTCTTCTTTATTATTTATTGCAATATTTGTTTTGAGGTCTATAATAAAAACTTAAAAGCGTTGAAACATATTTAGATTGAAAATAAATCGTAGATTGAATTATGTTGAAAGGAATACACTCGCAACTGTGTTTTGAAGTGAAATAAAGAATTTAACCCCCCCCCTCTCTCTCTCTCTCTGATCTGTCATGTTGATTTCCATAGTGTTTTCTTAAATAATGTGAATTTCGTAACAAACAAACATGTAAATACCGATATTGTCGTCTGCAATATTCGCTATTGACTCTGCACAATCAAAATGTCTTTGGAGAGTAAAAAACGTAAGCCAAACTGGACTGATGATGAAATGAAAATTCTAACATCTTGTGTAATTGAAAACAAAGATGTATTATTTGCAAAACTGTCGGCTTCAGTGACAAACGAGAAAAAGAAAGCTGTATGGGAAGACATCGCAAAGCAGTAAGCATTTAGGTTTTTAAAATAACGATCAACAAAAATATAATAACATCTCCGATTTGATTACATACAATTTGTTCATGTCTACACGTTACATATAATGTATATTTATGGTCAAAAACCTAACTAAATTGGCAAAAATAGGAATGTTATTTAGGTTTTGTGTCTTTTCATATATTTTTTTAATTTCTAACAAAAAATATACAATTGAAGGTAGACTGGGGATTCAAAAATATATTTAGTGTTAAAATTTTACTGCAGAATAAATTCTTCTTCTGCCTTGTGCAAGAGGGAAACAGCAGAAATAAAAAAGAAATGGAAAGATGCAAGATCCATTGTAAAGAAGAAAGAAGCCAGTAGAAAATACCAGACGAAGAGAACGGGCGGAGGGCCTCCCCCGGAATCTGTATTCAAGGCATGGGAACTTGTCTTATGTGTTTTCTAATATTTACCTAAAATTGATAAAATTATATGTACTATGTATTAAAAAAAAACTTTCGATCGTTGCTAAGATGAGTTTCCGATACTGACATAATTATTTTTTCATTAATGTTTCGCACCGTTTATTTTTTTAATAAATTGGAAAAGGCAACAACTATTTTTTTGTTTTTATTGCTAGATTTTGTCAATTATACCGGATAAACTTATCTCTAGGATTGACGGAGGGGTTGATACTGCCTTTGCCAGTAATTCTGAAACAAGTACTAGTAAGTATAAATACATGGTACATGCATGTACATTGTAAACATACGTTCACTACATGTATTTTTGTATTATTGTAGTATACAGTAGTTATAGTTTTAAAAAAATGAAATATATGATATCTAAATACTAGTATTTCTTTGTAACAGATAACCTAGCCTCATCATGCACTGCAGTCCCATCGGAAATTTCCGCTGGAATTCCATCCTTGATTGGTTTGTATAATTATACATATTATATAATATACTTATAAAATTTTAAATCATAAAAAATATTATAATAGATAATATTATAATAGATTGTCAAAAATTTGATATGCATGTTCTTCACAAGCGGAACACATAAGTGTGTAGATTTGAAATATTGATTTTTTTTTCAAATTGAAAAATGTATGTTTGAACATGTATATAGTAGAAGAAGTTGACGTTCCGGAAGAAGCTCCAAGTGTACATGTGTCCGCGCGGGCCTTCCACCGACACATTCTTTGCTTCAACTCTGTATGGATCTAAACGTAAAGGTAAAAAAGAAACAATGCCAACGCTATTAAAATGAATTAAAAATGTATTAAACATTCCTTCAGTTTTAATTTTCGAGTAATTTTACGTTTGTTAAGAAAAAAACACTAGTGAAATGTTTCAACTTCATTCATGCACTTTTAACTATTCATTTTACACATATGATTTTATTTGATTTTCTTCTGTTTTAATTGACATTGTTCTGATTATAAAACTTTTCATTAAAAATCAAGACACGGCTAGCGACCCTGACGCTGAGTTTATACTGAATTTGATAGGAGTGAAGGAGAGGAGAGTCATCGCAGAGGAGAGAAAAGCAGATGCCCTAGAGAGAATAGCGGCGGCATTTGAAAACAAATTTGGCATTTAATAAATTTGAACACAAAATGATAAAGTAGTCATGTTCTTTATTACAATGTAAGTGTATGATTTAATGAATAGATGAATTGTTAAAATAAATTTGCAACTTGAATGCGCACATCCTGTGCTCTCCTTGGTGCGTTTGCGTTAAACACGGCATTGTCATTGATGTTCTGTACAACCCCACCCTCAAGTAAGGGGACTTTCTCTGAAACAGCTAAATTATGAAGCCGGATACAGCATTGAATAATTTGAGAACATCTACTTGGTGAAAAGGGGAGTACTCCTCCAGTTCGATGTAAACACCTGCAAAGATTTACTTGAATGTAAATACTGTGGAATCATTAGAATTCGTGGTGGCTCAATTTTCGTGATATTCGTTGGTAGCCCCCCCCCCAACCACCTCGAATTTACATCTTCATAGGAAATTTAGAAAGAGATATCTTTGTTACTGAATCTGAAAACCGACCCATACACGAAATTACATCTCCACAAATAACCAAAAAAACCACAATCTAAGAAAATTGGCCCACAGAATTTTAAATGAATTCACAATAAAATTGTAACAAGGTTTATTTATGGTTGCAATAGATATACATTTTTTTCTCAAATAAAAAAAATGTAAGGTCGCATTTATCGTAATGAACGTTTGAAATAAAATATTTGCTTGCAAATATGACATATAAAGATATTTAACGAAAAATTGCGTTTAAATTACCTAAATCTGGATTTTAATACCCCAAACGATATTTCTATGACAACACGAGTCTTTCCATGGGCATCGTTGTAATTCACTTCGTGTTGATTGGCTGGGGATAAGAATGGCGTTAAGAGCCATTCCTTGAGAGGGTAGCCAGAATCCCCAAGTAACCACCCACCGCCTTCGAGATGTTCCATAACACCTGACAATCCCGAGTTGCTCAAAACGAAAGAGTCGTGAGTTGCCCCGGGAAAACAGGTATTAATTTGAAGAAATCTGAAATAATATCAACCAATTTTTCATCCTTTATGCATATGTAAGCAAACAATTAGCATTCTTATATTTGTTATATTTGTTTGGTTATATTTGGTGCAATAAAGTTATTTTAAAATTGACATTTACATTTTCAAAGGTTGTTATTTCATAAAACCCTTTTGATGATATATTAAATATTTTAATTTTCTCCTGTTAAAGTTTTTGCGTATACAAGGGTATTTCTATTACAAAAAAATGATGTGCTAGGATTTATGTTTTAATCAATACCGTTTATACCTCATGTTGGAATCTGTTACGGCCTGAATATTTAAGGCATGAAAGTTTTTTCTGCATACAAAAGCAGGCTTCTGTGGTCCACTCATGCCCTTAATTGGTATTAGAGTACCATCGATTGCACCAACGCAATATGGAAATTTGGCAATGTCATAGAACTCAGATTTTACATGGCGTAATTCATTGGCAGTAACTGGAAACTTAATGTTGTCCACTGTTGTATTTATTGCACTGCACACTGTATAACAATATGATGAATCTGCGTTAAAATCCTTAATGATATATATAAAGAATATTTAAAAGGAAATGTACAATTGATTAAATGTATTACAGGCATGTAGAAACATGAAGGATATTGTATACAAACATGTACATATTATTATTATAATTATTATTATCAGTATACCCCATAGTACTTGCAATTGTCACTTTTCTGAAACTGCTAAACCTAATTTCGTGAAACTTTGCAGTTATTGAGAACACATTGTGTAGGTGCATATTACAAAGAAATTCCGCTTCCTTTTTTTCTGGGAATTTCGGTACTTTTTATTTTATTCATTTTATCTGTACAAAATAAAGACTCAATAATTGCACGAGTTTTAATACATGTAACGATTACTTTGGAATTATGCCTCATTTTGAATTACTTGTGTGTATTTAATGTGTAACATGCCATTTATTTTGCATGATATTGTCAAATATTAAGAGGGGAGGGGCGTGGGATGTGTTAATTTTTTCACTTTTTCTTTTATTATCATTTGTGAATGCAGGGGACAAAATGTTCAAACATTCAAGGGGTCAAATCTCCACATCAACAATGCTACGTGCCTGCAATAATTAAAAAAAATAGAGTTAACATCATTTTAAAGTTAAATAATGAAGTATAACAACATGTATGTACTACTTGGGATACGGATGATCTGGTAACGCCATGAAGGTCGCCTACTTCCGAAAAGAAGTCCGCCTTTGACAGATGTCTTAAGGTGATAATTACTTGTAAGAATGTTTATCTTTATATATACATGTATAAATAAGTATGCAAATGTAGTTTAATTATATTAATAGGTACATTGTAAAAACCCATTATATTTGTCATATCATGTGATTCCATGCGGCAGTATTTGTTTATTTATGTGTGGATATTTAAGAAGCATACAATGCTACAGTAAACATTCACATAATTTATTTTATACATGTACCTGAATGTGGGTGGGAATGGCATGACTTTTGTATGTAGGTCGCCTCACAATAGGGTCAACATCATTTATCTGTTTTCGAATGACTCTTCCTGGGAACCTATACCTACTTACGAGATCTATATCATCAAGACAGTCGAGAGGGTTGGTTCGGTCCCGAAAAACGCGTTCTCGCCGAGGTGTTTCCCTTCTTCTTCTGCGAAACAGCCAGAAAGTCGCCATTATCCAATGTTTACGTCTATAGTTACACCTGCCTTAGACCAGCCGTAGATTTTTGTCTTAACTTAAGGCGGGCGCAAAGTTACGCCCTTTAGTGAAACGGACCTTAGTCCAAATGTTAGACGTAAGTCCGGACTTACGCCGGGCGCAGAGTTAAGACAGGCGTACGCCTTTTAGTGAAAGGGGCCCCAGTGCTCTTTCTCTGTTTGATATTAAAGCTGTCAACACCTCTTGCTAGGTTTGCCTGTTTTGGGATAGGCGAATAAGGTCAAACAGTCTTGCTAAGTTTAGATAGTGTTTATATAAAGCATTTTTAAGTGATTCTCTGTTTGACATTCAAAGGTCGTTAGTTTTTGATTGCATGGACTTCTTTTGTTTCTTGTTTCATTCTTGGTACAGTGTACACAAATCCAAAACGACAATGAAGGGGAGATATTGTATGCAAAAGAAATTGTTTTGTTCTCAAACTTCCTGTATTGTTATAATACAGACTCCACTCCACGACTCCACTCCATGACTCCACGACTCCACTCCACTCCATTCAGCTTTTTACCCCAAGCCGAAATAGAATTCATACCTCCATGTACTTTACTTTTTAAACTTACGACCCGAATATTGGTGTCAATTTTTTTAAGGTACCGTTCTTGTTTTAATCATTTTGTACTTGAAATACGTACAATTTATCAAATTTAAGCAAAAAGTGAGAAAATAGATAAGATCTTTCGAAAATATATCGCCCCGTGGGGATCCGGGATAGAATAGGTCCTCAGTACCTTCTTGCTTGTCGTAAAAGGCGACTAAATGGGGCGGTCCTTCGGATGAGACCGTATAAACCGAGGCCCCGTGTCACAGCAGGTGTGGCCCGATAAAGATCCCTCCCTGCTCAAAGGCCCTGAGTGCCGAGCAAAGGCCGAAATTTGCAGCCCTTCACCGGCAATGGTGACGTCTCCATATCAGTGAAATATTCTAGAGAGGGACGTTAAACAGTATTCAATCAATCAATCAATCGAAAATATATCAAGTTTAAAGAAGTATTTTTAATTTATAACACTTAATTTATCAAAATTACGTTTTCAGATAATGAACAGTGAATGATAATGGGAGAAGAATGACCTTTAAAGATAGCGAAACTGTTTTATACGAAGTTTCTGAATATTCAAAAGGATATATACTAGTCCCTTATCCTAAAATATCTCTTTGAGGATGATGATTTATTGAATGAGTGTATGTTGTTTCATGTTGAATTCAGAAATTTCTCACTTATATATAGAGACAATACTATATACCGGTTAAGTGCTTCACTAGGACCATGTATTCAGCAGCGAGGCATCTTTCTCATACCAATGCCTGCCGAGACACGGAGCCTCGATCTTATCAAAGGTTTAATCCGAAGGACCATAAAGATGAAGAGGATGATAGACATTCTATTTAAATAGTCCTATGCTATATTTCAATACATGTATTCCCATTTTATTTTTCCGAAACCTTCTTGTGGATTATCAAAACTGTATACATGTACTAGTTATATGATCAGCAAGGGTAGTCAGCATTTTATATTTGGATTGAGCTCTTTCACTAGATGAAAAAGGTGAAAAAAGAACGTCGATCAATCTCATAAGATCTTCAAACAAAGCAATTCTGCAATCTCATAAGATCTTCAAACAATGCAATTCTGCGAACATTGCATAAGTTTCATAAAAAAAAACAACAATTTAAATGTTAATTCCTCGGTCATCATAATCTGCTTACACTCGTTCACTGTCACTCGTGAAGAGGTAACGGGATCTCGCTTGGCTAGTGGAGGTGCTGGGATGTTTCAATTCAGCTTCTCTTTTATCTTATATAATTCCTTGTAAATTTGTGGACCAGAGCGGCCGCCATTGTTGGGGAGTGGAGATGTTACCCAACCTGTATGAAATACAACCAAGGCAGTCAAGATTCAGCTTTCCACTTTTTATTAAATTATAAAATCTAACCGGATTCTCCACCACTTTTCATAAAAAAAAAATAACAATTTAATGTTAATTCCTCGGTCATCATAATCTGGTTACACTCCTTCACTGTCACTCGTGAAGAGGTAACGGGATCTCGCTTGGCTTGTGGAGGTGCTGGGATGTTTCAATTCAGCTTCTCTTTTATCTTATATAATTCCTTGTAAATTTGTGGACCAGAGCGGCCGCCATTGTTGGGGAGTGGAGATGTTACCCAACCTGTATGAAATACAACCAAGGCAGTCAAGATTCAGCTTTCCACTTTTTATTAAATTATAAAATCTAATTGTAATCATTATGATTACAATAAACTAAAACATTATTAGTTCTAATATAAAAACAATGTAACCTGCTAATAAATTAAGCCATGTGAAACTTTAAATAATTTAACAAAAACCGCGCAAGTTTAGAAAATCATCTCACCTGTATGAAATACAACCAAGACAGTCAAGAGTCAGCTTCCCACTGAAATATTGTCTAATCCGGCCGTTCATTTCATACCAGGTTTACGTTTGTAGATTTCCATCTCCATATTTGTAACTCGTTCGAAATTTGCAATAATTACTTCTTATTTTGATTTGAATTTTAATTACTAGTATTCTGACCTTGGGTACTTTTTAAACTCTTAATGCACTTTTAAAATAATTGCCGATCTTTTGCATAATCTTTAAATATTGTTTTCCGTAGTTAATTTATCCAAATATTTGACCTCTGGTCACTTCAATGTTATTGGTCGCTCCTTCCTCCTAACCAGATGCCTTTCCTAATAAACGATTCATTTCTTGGAACTGGCCAGGTCAAAGTTCAACTTTTATTTGTTTACCTCTTAACCTGCTTCTACATGATTGCGCCCACGTGTGCTATCTCCGCCAAGTTAATTACGCTGAGCTGACCAGTACAAATTCATCGCATATGTTAATTATCTTCTTATTTTTAGTGCAATTTTTGTTATGATATAAGTACAGATCTCCAACGGGGGATCTTATGCGTAATAATAGTAAACGCCCCCTGTTTTCCGGTCACATACGCTATTTGTCCTATGTATTGATCAAGGAGACAGAACATAACATGATATGCATTTTTCGTAGTCTTCAAACTTATATATCAAGGAGACAAATGTAATATGATAACCTAAAACATAACGTGCTGATTGTACACTTATGCCCTTAAAGCAAATTATTTTGTACTGAATTTATTCATGCATGATGATAATGTCAACAATTGAATTGATTTTCTAGTTATGCAAGGTAGAAAATCCATGCAAAATATAACATTATTAAAAATTATTTCCATCTGAAAGGTTAGGTGTTAACAT